TAGATAAAAAATAAATATAGGTAGATTTAATAATATCTTATGGCAAAGCTTCTTAAAAACTACATAGATGTGGATTTAACTTTAGATGTATTTGTAATTGATTGATAGGTTAGAAACTTAACTGACAAGTTAACCATATGTTGATAGCTTGTTGTACAAGCTAACTATTTAGCATACATATAGAATACTTATTTTGTAAGTTAGACACATGTTGGAAGTTCTATAGAATGTCACCACATATCTTTAAGTTAGATAGTATATATGGAAGCAAGAATGAAGCCTTCTTTATTTTTGTTAATATCTTTTTTGTTCTTATTCTTATTTCAAGAGACTTTATTTTTCTTATCTTTGGTAATAGCCATTCTAATTTAATATTATACCATCTTTGAGTGATTATTTATTCTTTTTGAGTGATACAAGAAAGTATTAATCTTTTAATTCTTTAAGATTTATATCCTTGATATAGCTATATAAATGATTAATAGATGATATGTTGATAATAATTATTAGATGATAAGTAGATGATAATAAATAGATAAAAAATAAATAATGATGAATAGATTATAGGTGGATGGTTAAGATTTAAGAAAAATGATAGCTATATGATAGTTATTGATTGAAATTAATAAAGAAATTTCTTCCATTTTAAATAAGAATAATTATTATAATTAAGAGGATGTATTATAAAGTAATATTATCTAATTTAGCAGTATATAATAATTTGCATTGTTCAATAATATGATTTAAAAAGAATTATGTAAGAAACATTATTTTAGAGTCAAGTAACTTGTATAGCATTTTTTTTTCTTTGGTTATTTTAATTTCAAATTACCTTACTTAAGACTTCTATTCTTAATTGAAACTAAATTCAAAGAATTTTTTGATATTAATATTCTTAAAGATATTCTTAAAATCAAAGTTAGAGTATCTTTTAGACTCTTCATGAATATATATGATTACTTGTATCTCCATGCCTTGTATTTTATTTTGCATCATCATTGATTTAAAAGCATTGATTCTAAGGAATTTCTATGAAATTTTTTTTGGATATATATTTTTATTTTAGGATTAAAAATTTCTTATGCCATGTGACTAAGTAGAAAAAATCTTAGGTCTCACTTTAAAGTCTTAAGAAATATCATTTAAAGAATAGTAGTCAAATCCCAACTTCACATGATGACTATTGTCTAGGGCATAGAGTCAAGGATTGTACTTAGCAAGGTAGTGTGTATTGCCCTTCTAAATAAGCACTAAAGATTGTAGATTTCCAATTCAAAGATTTTAATCACTTTCTCTTTTATATTGTACTAATATTTAAAAGAAGTCTCTTTAGAATTTCTCCCTATTGTAGAAGTCATTCTTTATATATTTGTATCTAAGAAATAGTAGTTCTAAAATATTTTTCTTTTTTTAGATACATGTGTCTTACAAAGCAAGGACATGACATCTATTCCAAAAATTGATTATTTGAAGGAATAGAGAATCTTGTCCTTTTCTACAAGAAAAATAGATATTATTATAAAAAAATTGTAATTATGTTGTAGAAAAATAAGTCTTAAAGTATAAGATTGTTGCACCAAATCAAAAAGAATTAAGTCATAGAGAATAAATTCAAATATAAAAATTGGCGCGTTATAATTTATTGATGAGGATTTTAAAATAAAAAATAAAATAAAAATAAAAGATTTGTTAGATACTTCTTAAGGTTTTTAAAATCAGCATTGTTAAAAAGATTGAATTGTTTGAAAAAAAAGAAATTCATAATCATTATTTTTTTAGGTTTATAAAAAAACTTATGATTCTATAGAAATTTTCCTTCTATAACAAAATATTCGTGTATTTTTACATATAACTTAATACATAATACAAAAGTGTGGTGTAATCATAGTAGCCAACTACAACTTTTACCACACCTCTTTCTTTTTAAAACATGGGATTGCTATCAAGGTATCCATCATAAAAAAATCAAAACATAAAACATAAAAATCAAAATAAATCATTCTTTTATCTGTATAAATTATGTTCTCTAATAAAATTAATAAATTCAATGTGATGTCTTCTATTTTTCACTTGTATATTCTCACTGAAAATATATTGGTTATATCTTTTAGTCTTGACAACTATTTAACGGGCAAGATTGCTGGAATCTAGCAAAGCTCGTGGGACTTGAACTAGCTGAACTACGTGGAACTCGCCCCTGCCAAAACTTTGCCTAGCCCACTGCTGTCCAAAAAATAAAACCCAAAAAGCCACTGGGAAAACGGACAATCTTTCTCTTAATTTGATATCTAAGTGAGCAGGAGTTTTGATTTAGTAACAGGTACTATCTAGTAACATGTTTAGTCACGGCCCATATGGGTGTACGCCGTGCTGGAAATTCCAAGGTTTGCCCAAATCATTTTTCGCTCATTGTAAAGCTAAAGACTAACGATTACGTTACATCTATCCTAAGTTTACTACAAATACCTGATTCGATTCCAGTTTAGATGACTTCCAAGATAACATACCCAACCAACTCTAACCGAGGAACTGCCGCACATATTCAAGCTTCACTATCACCTAGAGAGAGACTCTGTAGATGGTGATTCTAGCAGTGATAAACAACAAGTTCAGAAAGACGTTGATGGTACCAGTAAGCTTGAGAACTTCCCAAGTATTTTTGAACATAGGACAGAATAATCGAAGCTAAAGACTTACGAATGCAAGCTGCGTCTCTAAATATCTGATCACCCGTGCAACCGATACACGACACAAGCTCTCTCACAGAGCCATTGTCATTCAAAGCATGGACAGGCTGTCCTCCGACCCAGAACCCCGGAGAGTGAACTTACTGAAGGAGGAAGAGCTGAGTGCAGTAGATAAGTATTGCAACAATACGACACCACATGCCATGGAGCAATGATCAGGCTGAATAGGTTGTGGAATGTGGGGAGATTTGAGTGAGAGGAGACTCAGAGATCCATGTCCGCTGCTGATTGATGAAGTCCACAGACAGGAATCCTGCAGCTTCTGTATCAGTCATCGTGCACATCTACGGAACCCTCTGAGTGACGTTGCCACGAGCCCCAGTGCACCGAAACTCACAGAAGCATGCAGTTTCTTCCTTTTTATTGTGTAGTTACTCGTTATTTGGAATGTGTCTAATAATAGAAATACTAAACGATATCAGTATAACACTAATTCAATTTCTGTCTATCGATTATTTTTTCAAGCGAGTAACTGAACATATCATTCTGACTGACTATTAGTTTTGCATCATCTACAACAATCAACATGGTGGCAAAAAATCAATATGGTGGAAAGTTTTAGAAAAGTGTATTGTGGTAAAACCATGATTTTTTTTTAGATAAATGTAGTTTCCTGAAAATATATTAGTTGCTCAAGGATTGTTATTATTTTTTACAAATATATCACTTATCAATTGAAAATCTTTCCAAAACCAATTAGATGTGAAGCTTCCAGAAATATAGGTTTTAATATTTTTTGGAATTCATGGTTATTGAAGGGTTGAGGATTTTTATTTCTTTCAAAAGTCTTAACACAATATTTGATAAAACACACATTTTGAATTTTGGTAGAATAATTTTAAATATATATATATATATATATATAAGAAAATGATAAAGCAATCCAAATTTTTACTAAATTTACCCACATGTTTAAACCATTTAAATCATTGTACTCTTTCAATCCCATCCCCATTCTCTTGTTTCCAACCATCACCTCCATTCCCAACATTCCTAATTCCCCTGCCCTCGTCCTTAGCAATGGTTGGGAACATGAAATGACTGGGAACATGGATGGGGGCTTCAAAGGTGCAATGATGGTTAAGATAGAGTGGTAGTATTAAAAAACTGTGATAACATGTGATGGATGGCAAATTGTGGTAACAATAGCAAAAAATATGATGACATTAGCAACTCTCTACATACATACCCAATCAATTTAGGTTTTTTCTTTATTCTTTTTCTTTTTTTTGTGCATAAATGAGAATTCCGTCTAAATGTTTCACATGATTAACATTGTGTTTTTATAAAAGGTTGGAAAAGATTACATAGATTCAGAAGAGAATGATGATTGCAAGTGGGAAGGTAGGCAGCCCTAAAATATCTTTTGGTGGTAGGAGTATGTGATCCTATTTTTCTTTTTTCTTTTTCTTTTTTATCGGAGAGAAGGTCAATTGGTTATTGCCGTGTGTGTTACTGACACTATCTGTCGGTCGGTCAGTCGGTTTATAAGTCTCTGCCCTCCTCCCTGCCTCCTTTCACCACTCGTAGAAAAAGTCTTTATCACTCTTTGCTACCTCCCTTCCATAAAGAAGAATGAAAGGGAGTAAGGTAGACGACCCATTTCTGACAACTTAAGCATGACAGCATGTATTCAGTGCGTGGAAAATGGAGAGGGAATTTTTTTGATTGATGTCAGACCTACTCGCTGGATTAACCGAAATAGGACACCGTAAATGTTGGAAATGGGAGGGTGGTCAACAATGGGTTGGCTACCTTAGTGATAAGGAAAGAGAGGAGAAAAGGAGAGGAGACTGGTTCATGGAGTACCTCCTCCTCCTCTTATTCTTATTCTTATTCTTTTTCTACTGTGCTCTATTTACTACCATGGGTGGGCTTGGCGGAGACTCATCCCCCTTCAACCTTTATTTACTTTGCTGCTGCTGCTTGGTCCCGATCCGTATGTTTCCAGGTGGTGTTGCAGTGTGGTGGTGGTGTCCTCCTCCTCCGCAACAAGAAAGGGGTCCCTTCCGTTGTTTTCCTCCAAATTGGATTAGCATTGCTATGATTATTATTATTATTATTCCCTACTACGCTATTCCACTTACCATTACACTGTAGTAGGCTCTGCTCCTCCTCCCCCACGTCTCCCTCCACCACCCCCTACTGCTGCTGCTGCTACTACTACTATTACTACTCCTTCTACTCCTACTCATACTGCAAACTAGACTCCCCTCACTACAACTACCACCACCACCACACTAGGGGCGGACTACAGGGACAAAGGGAGGGGAGGGAGGGGACCAGGGAGCGAGTGAGCGAGGGAGGCGACACCAACACTGGGAAGGGAAGGGAGAGGGGACCTTCCCTGCCTCTGCAACAGTCTCGCCTCACCGCATCGCATTGCATCTCCGAGGGATGAAGACAGGGACACAACTGACAAGGAAGGGAAGGGAAGGGAAGAGCAGAGGGGGAAGGTAGTGGTGGTTGGGGAGGAGAAGGAGAAGCCCTGCTTCTTCTGCTGCTGCTGCTGCTGCGGGGCATTGGCATTATTATTGGCTTTGTTGGGCTTTGGCTGGCTGTGAGTGACGTCTCCTCCCCCTTCCCTTCCTGGCCCAAGCCATGGCATCGTCATCTCTGCTCTCACGCCTCTCCTTCTCCTTCTCCTCTTTACCAAACTCCTCCTTCGCATCCTCCCCTTCTCGCAGCATCTCCCCCCTCCACTTCCTACCTCCTCCTATCACTTCCTCCTCTCTCAATCTCAATCTCAATCTCCTCCCTCTTCGTGCTTCCTCCTCCGACGTCGCTCTGCAATCTAACGCCGTCTTACCCAACCAGGCGCTACCTCACGCTGAGGCTACTACCACTGCGAATGCCTCCGCCTCTGCCTCTGCGGCGGACGGTGCCGCCTCCAGCTCGGTCCCCTCCGATATCTACGCTGGCATTTCTACCATTCCCATTAGTGCTTCCCTAATTGGCTCGGGCGTCGACGCTAGTGAACTCAATGGCGGTGTTTGCAGTCTCACCGACCGGCCTAATAAGAAACAGGTAACCTTCATTAGAACCAAACGAGAGGATTGAGATGACGCGCTGATTGGGGATAGACTACTGGCTTACTTTGAATTTTGTCGAACCAGTGGGAGTGGAATTGAGGGCTTTTGAAAATCTCCGGGTCACAAATTCTGTCTTCCTTTGCATAGCGTCTAAGATTTTCTATTCTCGGGGTCCTAATTATTTTTAATGTCTTTGAGTTGTTTCAATTAACCAAAAATCGCGGGAGGTTTTGGCCTCGGTTTTACATGATTCTGACCTTATCCGACAAGCCCTAAGCCCTTCAGAAGATCAGGCAATGCACTTGAATGGCAATTCTATTATCACCAGAAAAACCTTTGTTAGTATCATTAATAGACTTTGGAAGACAACAAGTGTCCGGCTGAATTGCATCCTTCCCTAAAACTTGCTCACCCAATTTTGAAGAGCTTAAGGTTGAACGAGTCTGAACTTTTCAGGTCTGTCTATTCTACTGTGACGAAACGGAAGATCTTGCACGACGCATTGCTGCTGAGACGGATTCTATCGAGCTCAAGTCTATCAGATGGGGGTATGTACGTATCCCGCTTGTGCAGGGGTTCAGGGTTTTGGAGTGGGACAGTTCAGGTCTCAATCCTGTGACGAGAAGCTGAGCTGTGTGAGTAAAAAGGGAAGAATGGAGTGTGTTGTGCGTGATTTGAGTGTATATTGCTGGATTACAATTGATCGAGTGTGATGAGGCAGGACATTTGCTGATGGGTTCCCCAACCTTTTTGTGCCTAATGCACATGGGATTCGTGGCCAACATGTGGCCTTTCTGGCATCATTTAGCTCACCTGCAGTAATTTTCGAGCAGCTCTCAATAATATATGCCTTACCGCGCATGTTTGTGTCTTCATTCACTCTGGTGTTGCCCTTTTTCCCGACTGGGACCTTGGAGCGCATGGAAGACGAGGGGGACATTGCAACTGCATTTACACTCGCAAGGATTTTGTCCAACATTCCAATTTCGAGGGGTGGGCCAACGAGTCTTGTAATTTTTGACATTCACGCTCTTCAAGTAAGTACATATTTAATGCAACATATATTTTTCTGGATGCTTCAGTCAATCATTTCTTTCCTTTGGGTATGGTTGGTAATTTCTGTGTTTGTAATCGGCCTGCCTTCCAGCCATTTTATTGATAGAACTTCAGCGTACTTTTGCTCTTACAGGATGTGCTTTTACAGCTACATTTGAGCTACATCATATTTTCTGAAAATCTCTGGTTGTGTTGGATATTGAAGTTAAGGAATTGTGGTTTTCAGGAAAGGTTTTACTTTGGTGATAATGTGCTACCATGCTTTGAGAGTGGTATTCCACTGCTTAAACATCGTCTCCACCAACTTCCGGACTCCAACAATGTAAGTGATTTATCCCCCCTTCCGTGTTACATGTTCACTTTTGTGTTGTTTTATCCATGTTTGTAAATTCCAATATACTCAAGATCAAGTTTTGCTTCAAAATTAAGTTGGTTCCATTTCAACGCCACTGTAAGACAGATTTGACGGAAGTTTTTTGTTATGGTTCCAGGTGACCATTGCATTTCCCGACGAAGGTGCATGGAAGCGATTCTACAAGCAACTGCAGCACTTCCCCATGGTATTATTGCTTCTGTATGAAACATTGATTCTTTTTCTATAAAAGTTCATATTGTATTAGAGTTCAACGATATCTGACTCAAATGTTTATATATCTTGGCGAGTTCCAGGATGGATATGACAAGAAGTGGTTAGATATGTCCAGATTATATGCACGAAGGTCAGGGATGGTAACAATCGGATAGTTAAGCTGAAAGAGGGTGACCCGACTGGACGGCATGTTGTAATTGTGGATGACTTGGTGCAGTCTGGAGGTACCTTAATTGAGTGCCAGGTCAGCGATCAACATTTTTACTCTCTAGGTTTATTAAATAAATTGGATCTTATCTTGTTTAAGATTTATGATGTGGTATGTGACTTGTCCATACTTCTGAAGCTGTCACTTTTCTATCAAACTGGCCAGTGTCTGGGAGACCTTTCATGTAACGAGTTCACAGTTCTTTAATTCTGAACTCCATCCTGAAAGATGTATTTGGTTTGTTTGCATCTTGCAGAAGCTTCTAGCAACCATGGGGGCCAACAAAGTGAGTGCTTACGTTACTCATGGAGTTTTTCCAAATAGATCATGGGAGCGATTCGTACACGATAATGGAGGTACGCTACAGAGACATTGGTTGCATCTTTTTAGGTGACTGGAAAGACTCACACGATATTATTTAGAAATTGAGCACTTAATACCATATTATAAGATGTGGTTGGGTAGGTTTAGTTCCACAGGTGGTTGAGTCGTTGTTGGAATGTGATGCAGAGGGCGCGGCTCATGGGTTTGCTCACTTCTGGTTGACTGACTCATGTGCGAGCACCGTCAAAGACGTGAGGGGCAGAGAACCTTTTGAGGTGCTAAGTCTTGCTGGTTCGATAGCTGTTGCCCTTCACATCTAGAAGAGACTTGGTAGAGGTACTTTGTCTCCCCACCACTTTGTAGGTTTCTGAATTCTGTCTTAAATGTCCATCAGTTAAAGCAGAACTCGGAAATAACTAGTTGCAGATACTTATTTGAGAAATGCATCTGGCATTGAAAATCTTGTGTCAATTGTTACAATAGCCTTCACTGCCCATTCTGAAGGACTTTGTTGTTAGGGAAGATTGGTAATAGTTTCTGATTTCTGGGTTACATGAGTAGGTGGTCAAAGGGGGGACACAGCAATTAGCAATGAATTCCAGGGAGGACTTTCATGCACTGTGCTTGAGAAAAAGGTGCAACACCTTGCTCCACTTTGTTAGGATTAATATAATGAGGTGACTTTTTGCTCTTACATCCTCGTCAGCGATCCTCTGAAGCATCTTCTGAACCCACATGAAGTTACTCGAAGGTTTAAGTATTATGTGTTATTATTTCCACAAACACTCCATTCTAGAAGTATAAAACTGACTCTAAATATTACATCCACACTGTCATGGTTGACATGATACATTTGCTTGAAAGATCTTTATATTTACGGTGCTTCAGAAATCGGTGGGATTTTTATCTTACTGTGAACTGTTTCATAACAGACATTGCTGTGAGTGCCTGGCTTTCTCTTTTCTTGGGGTTGAGAATTCTTTTACAAATCTATTCAGTAAAAACGTTCGAAATAATGTTGAGACAAAACTCACTAGAAGTCTTCATTTAGATATGTGTGCTGAAATACATGTGAGGAATGGATTTCAATATACTACATTACCTGTGATGCAGATATGCATCATTCATTAAGAAGTTTTGTACTTTTGATGAACTTAAGGACAAAAGTATCATCAATTAATCTAATGGAACGACATTTCTACCTAAATGTACCATTCCAATTTGAAGAACCTAGGTCATTGAGCCACTGAATCAAAGATTCTAGCAAAGCCTTGATGCATGTAATCTCATTTGTACTTGTTTTTCTTTTCAATTATAAAGTTTACATGTCTACTCCAGTTAAAAATTAATAATTATAATAATAGCAATCGAAAGTGTCCTCAATCATTGTCATAACAAACACACATTCATTGAAAACATTCACAAATTTTTCAATTTTTTATCAGAAATATAAAACTTATGTCTGAGAAAACCTTGGATTTATTTTCTTGCTTGTTTGATCTTTGAAAAAAAAAAAAAAAAAAAAAAACAACAACAACAACAACAACAACAACAAAAACAACATGTGTCCTGACAAAACTTATACAATTTGTGTCCAATAGAATACTGAGATAAATTGACCACTAATGACTTCATAAACTTTTGTGTAATCTTATGTTTTTTAACTTTTTTTTTTTTGTAAGTTTATTTATGTATTTATTTAACCTTCAAGACTCATTAAATATGTCACATGGTCATAAAACTTCTATGGTAGCAACTGTAAATACAGTTAAAATTGATCTCATTTTCAATTTTTGCAAAACCTCAATTGATTACCAAATTAAATAAACAGGAATATTAACGTCCATCTTTTTGTTTGGTTTTTCTTGATAGAGAACATATTACTCATATTCTAACGAATTCTAAAGCTTCATAGTATTTTACATGCTTCACTTTTTTTTTAAAGTTCAGGTTCGTGGAAAAATTAAATTATAAAATTTTAAGGTAAATTGTCGCATTCAATATAAGAAAAACGTTACTATAATCAGAATTGTAAAATCATTTTCAAAAATTATTAAGTGTTTCTGCTCTTCTTATCTGTATTAAAGGTAAATCTTATATCTTCTAATTTATATCAAACAAATATCCTTTTTATTGTCCTCATGAAACTTATCATAATATTTTTTTTTAATAATAAAAACAACAATACAATATGCAATAAACACCTATTCTGTTGTATTGAATTCGGTCTGATTATTGAAAAAATTTCATTCATATTCATACATTGGTTTTTTAAATGATGGCTATATATATTTCATTTTGTTTTGTACTTTTTCCTTTGTTCTTATAAAGTAGGAGAGTATGTTGTGGAGTTTCAAAATAATTTTTTAAATGTTTAATATGATTTATAGAAATATGTTTGATTGTTTGGAGATCCAGAGGTGGTATAGGATGTCTCTACAACATGTCTTCTTGTACATATAATCATTCACTCTTTTTTGTGTGTATGTGCATATATTTAAATTTTATATATTTAATTAAATTAGAACATGTTGATGATTCTAAATTTTTAATTATGTGTTCTAAAGATATCTAAGTGCAATTCACTGAAAATCCTATTTTTCAACACTTTATTACAAGTTTTATTCATTTATCTATTCTTTACTTCAGAGTGGCTCCGTATGAATTATTCAGAATTGGAATCAAACAGATTTACCATCATCAATACCATCTATTTATTCATATTTTACAAAACATGTATCCCCATCACAAGTTGCAATTGTCAAGTACCAAAATCAAGAATTGATAATAATGTTTAAAAACATAGCATTCATCAGATGCTTGCATTAAGAAATTCACTACACATAATGTTAAATCTTAAAAACACATGCATGCATCGAAAATATTAATACTGAGACTGCCTTCCATGCTTCGATCCAATTCTTTTTTACGTGTGTTGTTTTATAATTGATACTTTAGCTTTTAGTTGTTTTTTAATTCAACTCTTCGTTTACTTGATATTGATTATTGGTTAAGGAATGTATATATATATATATATATATATATAATTTATAAAAATAGAATATACACTATGATCCAATTCCTTTCAGCATTAATATATTTAGTTTCCACTTTCTTTCCTTTTTCTTCATCTTATCGAATCATTTATTCATCCATTTTGTTAGCACAAAAAGAAATGTTTGTAAATGGGATTATTCTTCCCCATGTGATTAAAGTTGCACAATTGCTAGTTTACAACATCCCATATGATCCTCCTTGATTTGTAAGGAGCCCATTTCCATCTTTTGAAGTACCCTGCTTGAAATAATGCAATGCATGCTCCCAAAATCCATTTTGCTCCAATCTGTTTTGTTACGTATCTTTGTGAAATTAAACCCTTTGTCAACATGGACTTTGTATCTTAAACATGTTTTGCTTTAAAAATAACTCAAAGAAAAAGAAAAGAAAAAAAAGGCACATGAAATTCTTTGTTACACTCATAGAAAACAAGGCACGTGCAATTGAAGGAAGAATGAATGATGCATTTGTATTATACACAAATAAATAAATATGTGTATATGTATAGGAAAAGAGAGAGAGCGAGAGAGGAGAATACATACCAATTTGCGTTCATCAGCTTCAGGTTCAGCAGCCCATGAAAGGTATGTGACAACATCTTTTGCAATCTGAAAAAAACATGTCCCACATTTTCATTTCTTTCATTTCATTTCATTTCATTTATCCCCACTGCACAGGTTCCCTCTCTCTCACTGTCATTTTGAAAACTCACCACATAGAAATATTACTTGTTTCCACATGCTGACATTATTTCTATGATTGCATGTATATGAATCCCAAAACCCACATACTTATTAACAAGTTATTTGTTAATTCAAAGAGAGAGAGAGAGAGAGAGAGAGTGAGAGCAAATAGTGTTGAAGGAGCTGAGAGAAGAATTTTGAGATGTGGATGTAGGGGAGAGCATATATATATACATATATATTTTATTTTATTTTTATTTATTGATTTATGAATACTTGAGAGGCTGAGGCAGGAGTTCCATCATCATATTCCACTTGTCCATCATTTATGACTTTTGGCATTGCAATGGCACCTCCAATAAAATACGGATTATAGTGTAAACCTTGCCTCACCTGATCCATTGTACCAATCCATTCTTAATTCATGATTGTATGTAAGAATATATACATCTATATATATATATATATATATATGACTAGTAGAATAGCATGAGTGGGATTCTTGATAACATTGAACATCAAGATCCCTTTTGCTCCATATAGAATGGCATCAATTGAATTTTTCAAATCTATGAACGTTTTTAAGCAATGCTGAATTTTAATTAGAAGAATATCAAATGGATTTATTATTTCTATAAAAATAAATAAATGAGTACTTTTCTCATCTATGCTGCAGCAACCCATTCAGAGTAGATAATTTTCAAATCAATCAACAAAAATGATAGAATAATATTACAGAGGAAATTTACAAAAAAATTGATCAATTTTTTTATTTTTTTAATCTCAATAAATATAAGAATAATCCTTGAAAATCTGTAGGTCCTTTTTGTTGAAAAATTTCACATAAATTTAGACATTTTAATAAATATTTTGAAGCTTTTAACATATCGAACATTTTTATAGCATTGAGAAAATTATTTTTCAAATCTAGATTACCACTGATTCAAATGTTTCTGTGACAGTTCTTATCAGTACGATTATTATTATTATTAGTTTAATGACCACCTCCTCTAGTTATTGTACTAAAAAGAAGTTATCTACACAATGACGTTTGAACACTATTTTACAAAAATCATATCTATTCTTTTTAATGAACCAAATACACTACTGCATTATTAGCCATTATGAAAATGAACTAGTAATAGCATTATTCATTATGAATATGTAATATTAAAGTGCCACAAAATGTTAATGACAAAATTCAAGGGTCTTATAGATACGCTGAGAGATCTCATCTGAAAACTATTACACGGCTTTTTAGTCCCAAAAAAATCACGAAATACATACCGAGATCCCTGCAGGAGCATCACGATATCCCATCAACAAAGAAAATATGTAATTTTGTCCATTGTGTCGTGCCTATCATTTATAACAGGTAAAACGAGGATACAGTTATTGAGATTGTCTTCTCTCTTAAAATTTAATTGCTTTGTAAAATTATGTTGTAGATATAGACTCCTTTGAACCAAAACAACTCTTTCGAGATATGGTTGTTAACTACTTGACATAAGGTTGAAAGTAGCGCTACAGCGGATACAAATAAAATACTGGTGTAGACTCGTGAATACTGTGGTCTTAAAATGCCCAAGTTTTAAATTTGATTTGGACTAATTTCTGGACTCAAGCTGGTTTATGTTTACAATCTTTGATCAAGAGAATGTAAGTTAGATATGAAATTAAACTACAGAAAAGAAAAGAAAATGCGATTATTAACAAACCATTCTTTCTGACCTTACAGATGAGGCTCAAATCAGGAGGATAAGCTCCGCCATTAGCGGCTCGGGCAGCCTGTTCATTGGCATATGGTGCTTGGAGATGATCGGAAGGCTTGCCAGGTCGCATAAACATCTCGCCAGCATCATTTGGTCCATCTTCCACCTGCCACACTTATTCCACCGCACTTCAAGACATTTTATAGACATCAAATTGTTTGTATGTTACATGTCATTGAGAAACCATTCCTTAATTGCGTGAGATCGATGATTGTAAGTCGCAGTTTGCTGTCAGTACCTCAATTTCTGAAGCTAGTGCTTTCACCTCAGCCTCCGTGTAAGCCACTCCAATAAGGTCACGATAGGTCACAAGTGACATGGCATGACATGCGGCACAAACCTCCTTATACACCTGATGGCCTCGCCGAATCCTGACCATCGAGTTTAGCAGGAAAGACGTCACAATCGGAAGAAAACCAATGCAACACAATCATTCTGGCTCCTCGGCTTAGCAAGCCTTCGACGAAGCGCTTTCCTCACTTACTAATATGATCGCTTGCACAATACAAAACCTGCTGATCCTTCTAATGCAACCTATACAGAGGAAGGAGACTAACGATGCATGATCGTAGCTGCTGAACCAGCCACTATGAGACCATGGATACGAAGGTGCTTGCAAACCATGCTCAGCCTCGTCTGCGTGGGCAAAGCCAGCCAACCCTAGCATACCCATTGCGCCAGCGCCGACGAGGGCCGCAATGTTTGACAATGTGCTCCTCTGGTCTTGACTCTGAGAGCTTCTTTTTGGAAGTGAGTTCTCGGTCATCCAACGGCCGTTCTGAATATTTAAATGATTCCATGTTAGAACTGAGAGGAAGTTGAAAGTGAGTGTGCCAAGGTTTGTGTGCAGTTTGATAGCCTGTCAGTATGAGAGCTGTAATTGGGACAAGGTACTGAAACAGTTTTAGCAACGTGAGAGCCTCTACGCACTACGAAACCATGAGCACAAGGACGTGATTACTCTCTGTCAGTTGCTTTGAAAGAAAGCATGAAAAAGAAGTTTTTGGGTATAACACTTGAACCTTAACCCACACAAGTCGTGTAGTGTGTCCAGTGCCCACTGCTGCTTAATGTTATGAAGCTGTTCTTTGTTAACCAGTCCAATTACTCTACTATGTCCCGCAATCTAAGTTGGTGAATAAGCCAAGAACATTGAAAGCATGAAAGCAGCCTCAGCCTGTGTGGGCATATAAATTGTAGGCTTTCTTTGCATATGCGGGGGGACATTGCTTGTTCATGTTCTCCTTGCATGTTCTGAGATCTATCTTGAAGTATGTCAATCGCATCGGAGAGTAAAGGATTAAAATCCAGAAAGGACTTTAAATTTTGGTTCAAGTGTGCAATGGAACAATCAGCAAGACCTTTCCTCACCTGTGAACAAAGCGTGACATTCCTTTTCTCGTTCTGAATCCCAAACCTTCTTGCAAGAAGCAGTTCACACCAGGACCTGGGCCCGCTAAGCAATGCCCTCCCTCCAGCCATTTCTAAACCTCAAATAAAGCTATCCTTCCGTCGCCCTGGAATGATGTGCGAAACGTATAATCAATCAACTCGTTTCCCTTGTAGCCATCGATGCCATCGCTCTTGGCGTGAGAGAAGCGAGCACATAAGTGTTCTTCATGAAGCAGTGGCGATAAATCTTTCTCTGAAACTGACTTTCCCTCCCCGTCTTGTGTATATTCAAGTCCAGTTGCAAGGCATCAAGCTCTGATAATATCAGCCTAAACGCACAACACACTGTTACCGGGGGATGAGCACGCAATGGCAGAGTACAAATTAGGGCTGCAAAGCAGCACCAGGAGAAGATGGAGAGACAGCAACAACACAGCATTGTAATAGAGAGATGATGTCACGGCCACGGCCATAGGTCTGTCTTCCAGCCCCCCTGAACCTGCGTTCCCATCCATTGCTGCTTCATCTCATTCTAGTATAATCCATCCATAAAATGAGATTGTGGATGAATGGTATCATTCATTTATTATATGTATGAATGAATGACGGATGAATGTTTCATTCATATTTTCTCTGTTAATTTCTGGTGAACTCCGTTGGAGTGGAGGCTTCTTCTTTTTCTTTTTCTTTTGCTTGTTCATCTTCTTGTCAAGTGCTCTCCCCTCCTCCCATTTGCCCCATTTTGCCCTAATTGGTTTCCAATCCTTTGTTGTGAACTGTTACCAAATTAAGCCATTTCTTCCTCCATCTTCATTGAACCATTGAATTTGAGTTTTTGGGCCGTATTTTATTATGTGACTAGAAAAAAGTAGTATTTTTAGTTGGTGGGTGGTTAGCATTTTCTTTTTTCAGTATTTGGTTACTTATACAAGATTGAAAGAAAATACTTTCTAGCCAATAAAATAATTTTGAAAAATAAATTTAAGTAGCGTCTAAATATATACAAATATTCAAAAAGTAAAACCATGTGCTTATAAATGATAAAAGAATTTTAAGCTTTACATTCAAAGACTATGAAAACAATGAAGTACAAAAATGGTTGGTTACATTGTAAAATAATACAGTGAATAAATTTGATATATCAAGATAAAAGAAGAATTGGAAGTTTGAAGTTGAATGAAACCCACAAGGAAAAATGAAAAAACTAAATACGATCTTGGACTTTTATTGTCATTATTATTATTATTATTATTTTATAAATCTATTGCATATGCAAAGGTTTAAAAAAAAAGTTGTCGATACATCTAATGACTTTCTAAATAAGAAATTGCTATGTTCTCTGACAATGCTTATTATCCAAGCTCCCAGTAAAGGTTTTCTGCAAAAAAAAAAAAAACTGAGGAAGATCTCTTAACTAAGCTTCAAGAACAAATTTATAAAAAAATTAAAAATTAGTTCTGAAAAATATATGTAATGGTATTTAAGTTTTTATGGATAAATTCAAACTAAATCTGGTTTTAACTATTGTTAAATAAATCCAGAAATGGTGTAAAGTTGTTGTTATAGACAGTGTTTTCTTTTTTGTTATTATTAGGTTAGAGGTGGTTGAGTTATTTTCTAAGTTACAAATAGTTCTTTATAAATATATGAACATTACTTATAATAACTATTTAATTTGACATCTGTAAAAGTGTCTTTAAACCTGATTTCAAAGCTCCTTACAAGTGAAGAATTTGTTTATTGAAATTGCTTTTTAATCGAAATAGAATATAAGTTTAATATTATATATGGTTGGTTGTGATACATTTTTATTATAATACGTGCATTATTTTATTTTTTTAAGTTAAAATACAGGCATAAATCTTTTGGTGTCCCTACACGTGCTCTCAAAATTTGTTTAAGATATAAAATATTTTGTCACCATTGGTTCTCATGTCCTCCACTCACCCATCCTCAATCAACCGACAAGCAACTCCATGGGGGACTATGATATCTATGTCCTAAAATATATATATATATATATATATATATATGTCCTAAAATATATATATATATATATATGTCCTAAAATATATATATATATATGTCCTAAAATATATATATATATATATGTCCTAAAATATATATATATATATATATATATATATATATTGAAAATCAAACAAACGATTCTTCTTGAAAAAAATTTAATGGTTGTTGATTGTACATTAAAATACACTCAAGGCTTCACAACCAAACCACAATAGATCAAAAATAAAAATTTCATGGATTTGTATTGAAACGATATTTTAATGATAGTATTGAATCTCATTTTGTACTTGTTCGTACACTAACTTTCACCAAAACAATAATCGGCATTAAAGTGAGACAAATAGAAAAAGATATTGGTATTGATTTCAATATTATTTAATTTTGAATATAAGTTTAATCTTAAAGCTTTAAATTTGACTTTACATTGTTACAATAATATACCTATAGAGTATTTATTAGAAAAGAAAATTTACTAATTCATTATTGTTATTATTACTTGGAAAAACTTGAATGTGTGTGTATATATATATCTACATACACACAGTGTGTGTTTACATTGTAATAAACATGTAGAGCTGTCCCGCACAATTCTAATTGCAGAAAGGGCGTGCTCGGAAAGAAACGGATCCCTTTCTCTCTCTCTCTCTCTCTCTCTTTCTCTCCGGAGTCACACAACAGAAGGGAACATAAATCATCCATCTACCCACTCATTCATCCATCCACTCATCAGTTCATCCAGAGATTCACCACCATCCATCCGTCCGCAGTTTCATCTATCTATACATTCATTCTGTAGTTCGTAATGGAAGAATGAAGTTGGGGAGGCCAGGCTTGAATGAACGCTGCTGAGCGGAAGGCGGGAAGGCGGAGGCAGAGCAGAGGCAGAGAGAGCAGAGGCAGAGAGAGCAGAGGCGGAGCAGGGCCACGAATTGTGGCACCGCGCACAAACGCACACACACACTTACACACTTACACTTGCGCAAGGAAAGAAGGATTGCAGCAGCAGCAGCAGCGGGAGTGGCGACTCTCTCGCTCTCTCTCTGCCCTGCTCTGCCCTGGCTGTGCAGCTATCTATCTATTCATCTTTCTATCTCTCTCCCTGTAGCTCCCCCTCCGCTATCCTTCATCTTCTTCTTCATCTTCCTCTTCCTCACTGCTCTTGTGTTAGGGTTCTCCTACTTGCCCCCTGTTCTGCGTCTAGCAAGGAAGGAAGGCAGGATTCTATTCCACTTACTTACTTACCCTACTCTCTCCGTCGGGACTTGCACTGGATGTCTTCTTCGCCATTGCTTCTTCTCTCTTACTTACTGTTGTGCACTTCCTTTCCTCTCTCGGATCGGGGGAATGATTAGCAGCATCTATCCTCCTCCTCAAGTGCTGCTGCTGCTGCTTTCATCATGGCCCCGACGGGATCTGCCACGCACCGCCGTGAGCTGCGTCGCGCTGTTCGTCAGCTTCGTGCTCGAGGCCTTCACAGTGCTGCCAAATGGTACATCTTTTTTTCTTCTTTTTCTTTGAACATGCGTGCTGTCCTCTCCTTTAGTCTGGTCCTTCTCTGCAATGCATAGTAGTGAGCTACAGGCTAGGTATCCTTGCATTTGAATTGGTTGAGCCCGACTGTCTGAAGGCCTAGCAACTGCATTGAAAGGCCTAAGCGTGTTTGAAATCATTAATCTAAACCTATGCCGCGTAATCTAAGATTTTTGGGAGCGTTTGAGCATTCTCAATAGAAAACCCTTCAATTTTGAGGATATTTTATTGTGGATTTGTAGGACATTAATTTATTGTGTTGTTCCAATTCGCTATTTGTGTCTGTTAAGTACATTTTGTGTGATTTGTCCATGTATGTAGAATCACCTTCAATTTTTGTTTTTGTTTTGTTTTGTTTTGTTTTTTTTTTTTTTTTTTTTTTTTTGTGTGGGAGTGCTGCTAGCGCAATCTGTATGAACTATTTAAGTGATTGTCAGTTTATCACTAATTGGAATTAGTGAAGCGTGATTTCGTTTCTGACTAAAAGGAGTTGTCGCAGGGCTGCAGAACAACTAGTTGGCCTTCGTGAGAAAACCATTAGCAATAGTGTTGCACTGGAAGAGAATGCCACGACGAGGGAAAGTACCGGGTTCGAATTTAGAAGTACAGGAGTTGCATCTGACTGTCCGGAACAAGGAACCGATCGAGACGATATTGATAGCGAACAGGATGACGATGGTTTACTTTTGGCAAGGTCTTACTTCGACACCCGTGAATATAGACGAGCGGCTCACGCCCTTCAATCTGCATCTGGAAGCACAGCAACGTTTTTGCGGTTTTATGCCACATATCTGGTAATTTGGTTTTGCGATTTTGCTTGAATATGAATTGATGAAGGTTAAATTTTATTTCTTTCAAAGTCGATTGGACACTGTTTTGAAGTTTATTGTTTTCTGTTTACAAGTGAGGCAAAGTTCTGTATTGAGCGTATCGAAAGAACCCCACGAGTTTTATTGTTAACATCTCGAATATCTCTTTAAGAAATGTTGTCTTAGCGACGATATTGTTTCATCACCTTATATGAGACACGTTGATCTGTCCGTAATATTAAATGAACAGTTATGTTGAGTTTTCTCCAAAATAGAAATAAAATGGGTTGAATCCTTGTGCTTAATAGTTGTAACCTCATTTGAACAACACCATGCAAACTCTTTAAGGCTTTGTTATGGTGGATAAGGCAGTAAGCTGAGCATGTAGCACTCATCCTTGCTTGATTCGTAATTTGCGAGCCGTAACCGTGATTGATTTACAGGAATCTTAGTCAAGCTTTGAACGTTTTGAAATATATGCGTTTGAATCATAGCATGTTATGTTTGATTGAAATAAGGTAGATTTTCTCTGTGAGACTGTGTGGACGTCTATGACTTTCTGCCGTTCATGATACGACTCAATATCCTTGACATGAAAGGGGAATGCAATGCTTCCTTACGGTTCGAGTGAAAATCGATTCACTTTGAGAATTTAGGATCTTGTGCCTGTGTTGTTAAGGCAGGGGAGAAGAGGAAGGAAGAAGACACGGTTGATCTAGCAGGCCCACTTGGGAGGAGTGACGCTGTGAACTTGGAGCTTGTATCTCTGGAACAAGAACTTTCGTCTTTGTATCGGATGGGTACGCTTGATGCATTTGGAATGTACCTTTATGGTGTGATTTTGCGTGAGCGGGACAAACACGCCGAAGCCTGCACAGTGTTGTGTGCCTCTGTAAATTCTTATCCATGGAACTGGAGCGCCTGGCTGGAACTCCAGGTGAGTTACTCAAGTTGATGAAATACGATGACGGGAATTATTATCAGGCATTTTACAGATGTTCTGAACTTATTTTGTTTTTACTACCTGTTCACCTGATCAAATTTTCTGATACACGACTTCATTAGGCTTTGTGTACAGATCCAGACATCTTTCATACTTTGGATTTGAAAGACCATTGGATGCGTGATTTTTTCGTCGCCAGTCTCTTTCTAGACCTGCAACGGAATTCCGAAGGATTAGCACGATATCAGTCCCTTAACCTCTTGTTTCCTGGAAGCGATCACATACTAGCGCAGACAGCTGTAGCACACTATAATTTAAGGGAATTCGATGATGCTGAGCGCTTGTTTGAAGAGCTGCTTCGAGCTGATCCTTATCGAATTGAAGGTCTTCTATCTTGTCCACTCTATCTATTGCACTGTTTCCAGCATGAGACGTCCTTAGAATATCTTTGAAGCTTTCGGGCTGTGGGTTGTCTATCAATTATACAACTTTGCAAAGTAGAAACTGCATAAGCGTACTCTCAATAACAAGCTGTGGTGCTTTCAGGTATGGACACGTACTCCAATATACTCTATGTGAAGGAGTGTTTTGCAGCACTTAGCCACCTTGCGCACAAGTCTGTCCTTACGGAAAAATATCGTTCGGAAACTTGCTGCATCATTGGAAACTACTACAGTTTGAAAGCACAGCATGAAAAGGCAGTTCTGTATTTCAAGCGTGCTCTTAGACTGAATCCGAAATTTCTGTCCGCATGGACGTTGATGGGGCATGAATTTGTTGAGATGAAGAATACTCCAGCAGCGATTGATGCGTACAGACGAGCTGTTGACATAAATCCCAGAGATTATCGAGCATGGTATGGCCTGGGTCAGACATATGAGATCCTTGCAATGCCCTACTATGCTCTCTATTATTATCGTCGAGCTACTCAGTTGCGACCGCACGATGCTCGGATGTGGTGTGCGATGGGACAATGCTATGAAAGTGATCAATTACAAATTTATGATGCAGCTATTCGATGTTACAAGCGAGCCGTTAATAATAATGACAGGGAAGGTATTGCCCTTAACAAGCTGGCAAAGTTGCATGTTAATTTAGGTCGACATGAACAGGCTGCGTTTTATTTTAGAAAGAATTTAGAAAGAATGGAGGCGGATCAGAATGAGAGCCAAGAGTATGTGGACGCTCTACTCTTTTTGGGAAACTACAGCAAAAATAATGGTTCTTTGGAAGAGGCTGAGGTTTACTGTACCCGGGTGCTGGATTTTGGTGGCCCGGTAAGCTCTTATCTCCTTTCTTGCCCCAGACTTTCTAAATGATTTCACATCTGCTTAGTTTGTGATCTCTCATCCAGTTTCGAGCTGCATTTTATATCTTGCATTTTGATGAAGCGCATGTTGTTTGAGATTGGGTAGCTAATTATACTTGGAAACTTCACACAGCCGATGTTTTTGGTTTGCTTGCTCGAAGGGTTTTAATTTGGCTCCTGTTTGCCGTTTAAATAAGGGAAAGGACATTTCAGTTGCTGCAGATTTCGTACGCACGTTGATAAACGTATATGTCTTCTTTATGTTAAATGATCTGCTTCATTCCCGGATTTTCTGACAAAATAGGCTCAATAATCCTCTGGTGGTTTTCTGTTCAGGCAAAGGAAGATGCTAAAGCAATGCTGCGAGAAATTCGTAGCGTTCAGCAGCATGAAGATAATTTACAGTCTATGGAAGCCGATCGTGGCAGTCCATGAATAACCTCAAGCCACGTTTGTAGAATTACTCTAGATTATACATGGTTGATGAGGACAGTCTATGTTGTGACTTCCCTCTTTTGCTCGCAAGGTCTTGAATATTTTAGCTTGGCACAAGGCAACCCTGAAAAGGTTTCAAGAGGCATTTGAAGTAGTTCCTAGACGTTTTGGTAAAGGATTCAATGGGTTTGGCTTCTCGTAAAATGTTGGTTAAGTTATTGAGCCTATTTTGTCAGTTGAATAGTTCAAACATCCAAATTTTCCTCATCATACCTTACAGAATTTGCTACTCTTTCGTGCCGGGTACAGAATTAGCTTCCGGATCAGGTTCCTCGAAATGTGGTGTGTACTTGTACAGTGAAAGGATATCATAAAATTGTTTCTGACTTGAAAGGTTCGAACTCAAATTGTGATGAGAGTTTGAGTCAATTGCTATTTCTTGTGCATTATTCCGCCAAAATTTAGTTTTATAAATTCCAATTGATTTCTAGCATTTTCCTGATTCTGTAGAATGTGTATTTTGAGCCCTAGTCTCACTGCGTCTTCGTCAGATGGAAGTGGCCCAGGTTCGAATATGGTTATTGGTTATTTCACTGTAGTTGCATGTTTGTCATGTTTACTCTTTCTAAATTTAATATACATATCCTTTAAATGAATCGAACTTTAACCAATTTGTACTTCTGTGTATGTACTTATACATTCTCCAGGATTCATAATCTAAAACTACACCAAATGGCATCTGGTTTGCATACAGTTTCACATTATTTTCTCGTAACCTGATTCTTCAGGTAATTTTATTATCATTTTCTAGTTCTTTTTATCATTTCATTAAAAAGGATGAAGAATGTTGGAAATGAACATGTGTGATCCGTTTCGAAATCAATGTAGAAAATGAGATATTATTCACCATTATGACTTTATAATCCAAAACACAAGTCGCAAAATTGACAGTCCGTAAGAAAACAGTCGTGTCTTAATGCGCTTGTACACCAAAACGAACAATTAAATCTAAATATTATCCGAAGGTTTGAAGAGATGGAATACCCATACGGCGAGGGGTCCCAAGAATAGCGATGATGGCCTAATGAGCAGCCATTTGACAAGCACAGGATGATCTGACTGTTTGTTACACCAGAAATATGTCCCATAATATGTATAATTTTGATGCTCGAAAGAAAGAATACAGGGTTGCAGCCTCGTCAACTTATCATTCAAACAAGCACAAATGAAATCATAATCTCTCGCAGACATTCACCCACTTTCACACAGTATTCTGTACTTAGATTTGAGCGACCATATTCTGATACACCCCCCTCACTTATCACATTAGGGGGCTTAAACAAATTGATCCAGCAGCGACAACGTTAAGTGTGCAAGAAGATAAATATTTTACTGAAAACCCATACTTAACTAGGCAAACTTGCTGCTGTCCCGAAAGCATAGGGTCTTGGAAAATCAGAGCTCTCATTAATCGTTGGTCGAGAACACAGTTGTCATGGAGTTTTGCTCTTCAGCCTAAACACACTTCGTCGTCGGATGCAATCTAACTACCACTACAAGCAATATTTCACATCTCATCAAAGGCAAGAAGCAGATTAAGGTCCAGTTATTCTTCCCTTAACAAGTAATTCCAATGTTACGACCTTTAATGACGTGTCTGGCCTCGCTTCCTTAAGAAACTTGGTATATTGATCGCAGAGCCATTGCTGCCTTGAGATAAACCTGTCGGTGATCGACCAGCTTGTCCATCCAAAATACGACTCACATTCTGCAGAAGAACATCAAGCACGTGAACGTTGCATGAGAAGAAACTGTGAGATGACAACATTCAACAATATCATATCTAATGAGCAGTTGTGTTCAATCCTCATCTACGTTTAAGTACAGGATCTTAACACCACCTGCAATTTTGAAAACAAATGGTTGAAACTAGTAACGAACCAAAAAATCTAACACAATACTACAGGTCAAAACTTCATTTCATAAACTATCAAAGCAATGATCTCCAATTCCAATCACTCAGAGCAGTGATAAGCAACTTACTTGCATACTACGCGCATCAGGTTCATCTTGAGAACTAAATCCTGTTGCTATCAAAGTTATACTAACCTGCAAAACATAGCAAATTCGTTGGCCCAATACAAAAAATAAAGAAACTACACATAAGAAGGCAAAGAGAAGTCGTTTCCATGTTTCCACGTAACCTAGAAACGTAGAATACTTGTACTCAGTGGGGCACGAAAAAGTAGTGGATAATTCTTAAGTGGAGAGTTTCAAGATTTAAGGTTTAGTATTTTAAGTTTAATGCTTAAAAATAATGCTCACTTGGCCATGAAGTGCTTCGTCTACTACGGCTCCAAAAATAAGATTTGCGTTGGGATCGACCAAATCATAAATCACCTCTGCTGCAGCATTTACCTGACAAAAAGTTAGTCAATAAACATATTCCTCACAAGCCCAACAGAGAAATTAAGTGCATTAGATCAGTGTAATTACCTCAAAGAGAGTCATGTCGCTTCCCCCAGTGATATTCCAGACTATCCCTGTGGCTCGCTCAATACCCACATCCAATAGAGGAGATTGGATTGCGCTCAATGCTGCTTCTCTAGCTCTTGACTTACCTGCCAAATAGCTAATTGAGTACCAATGTATCTTTCAAACCCTCAAACACTGGACAGCAATGTGAACATATTGAGAGCGAGAGAGAGAGAGAGAGAGAGAGAGAGAGAGAGAGAGAGAGAGTTAGTGAGTGCAGTAAGCTGCAAACAAATAAATAAAAGGTATGTTCGACTTCAAATCTGAATGTTGCAAAAGAGATAAACCTGTGGCGGTCCCTATGCCCATCAAAGATGATCCTGCATTAGCCATGATCGCCCGCACGTCGGCAAAATCTACGTTAACCAGCCCAGGGACCTGCAACCAGAACCTTCAATGATCAACATAAAGGTAGTTTATCATAAACCAACTTCAAGGAGTATTTCGGGAGCATTTCATTTTCGACATTTGAGATAGGCATTGATTTGAAACCCAAGATCAGGTCCAGTGAGGCGTGTCATCTGATGCATGGAAGAACAAAAACTTCAAGTCATGTGATGCGGCAACTTTTACATTGTTGCTGCCACCTCATAAGACCACATTGAGTCATTGCATCCATCTTCACATCTCTCTCTTTCAAGGACAAATTGGATTGCATGAACGGGCACGTGTAGGTTTATGCCACTTACCGTGATAATATCTGAAATACCCCGCACTCCCTGCCGAAGGATGTCGTCTGCAAGATTGAACGCTTCCGTCACTGGGGTAGACTGCGCAACTGCAGTCAAAAGTTTGTTGTTTGGAATCGTAATTAACGTGTCCACGTTATTTTTGAGAGCTGCAATACCCTCGTGGGCTTGGACAGCTCGTCTCCGCCCTTCAAAGGCGAAAGGAGTAGTAACTATTCCTACAGTAAGAATTCCCAACTGCTTCGCCACACCCGCAATTATTGGTGCTGCACCGCTGCCAGTGCCGCCACCCATACCCGCCTGCCATCCGAAACAATTGAGAGGAGATGACTAAACCGTTCGAAGAATGTGTACATCAGGTGCGGTATCCAAAAATGGATGATGTAATGAACAGCATGCAATGGTTTATCCCCGGCATTGCAAGGAAACTTAAAGGAGAGTGCAAATGATAAGAAGTCAAGATTTAAAAGAAGAAAGACACAGAATTTAAGTATCGTCCAGATGGAAGTCATCTATGAGAAAATACATAAAAAGATGATTAGCTAACTGAGAAATCAAGGGAAAGGATTGACTACATGCCTCAATAGAATATTGACAATGGGGTTTAAGCGGATTTATCGAGCAAAATAGTTTCATTGGAAACAAATTCCACTCGTGACGATTTCGACAATGACAAGACTTGGTGCACACAGGCAAGAATGTGAGGCACACACTAACCCACCAATATTTTAGAAAAAAGAAAGGCACTCTTCGACACATACCGTTACGAAAACCATGTCAGCTCCGCGTAGGGCTTCTTCCACCATAGCTTTGCTCTCTTCCGCAGCACTACACCCTATTTCTGGATTCCCGCCCGCCCCCAGACCTCTCGTCAATTTTTGCCCAATCTGCAGACGATTCTGAGCCGGAACAGGGGACAAGGCCATAGCCTGCGCATCAGTATTCACGATCCAGAATTCTACCCCTTGCATCTCGCTCTCAAGCATTCGGTTTACGGCGTTGGAACCCCCACCTCCGACCCCTATTACTTTAATTTTCGCTTCGTTATAACTTCCAGTGTCGTCTCCGCTTCCTTCAAATGCCATGACAGGATTCCGCATCACGCTCGAGGGGGGTTCACATCGCAAAGGCGATTTTGCTTCCAAAGCCAACAAGTCCCTCTCTCCAAAATTGCAAAGACCCCCATTACTCAAAGCTCGGTCGATTCGGCGTAGAGCTCGAACGCTTGACCTAGAATGCATGCTGCAGTGAACAACGGGGGGGGTTCTGCAAGCCTCCCCACCCACTCGCGATGACACCTTGAGCCCCGCCCATCCCGAGCACCCACTAAACAACGCCATCGCTGCTGCTGCTTCTGCTGCCGCCGATTGGCGAGGCCACGATGCAGCAGAACCCAGAAAATGCTGCTGTTGCTCCTTCTACCCGTGCTGCTGCTGCAGCAGCGTCGCGGGGGGAGGGGGCGTAAGCGATGGGGGCAAGAGGGTGTGGGCGTGACGGGGCCTGATTCTGCCCCACTCTCCTCTTCTTCCCTCTCGCCCTGAGCTTCGTCCCGTGTCTCTTCCCGTGTTTCGCCCTGGGCTGGGCTCCCCTGTGCCTGCTGCTACCGCTCCGCCCATCTCCCCGGGCAGAACGGGCAGGGAAGTGAAGGGCAGGGCAGGGGTGGCAGAAGTGGGGCCCATGAGGGGAAGGGTGAGACCCAGGCAAAGGATGGCGTCCTATTGGCCATTCATGAGCTCCGTTCTTCATCTGCTGGATGCTGCTGGATGGCACTTGCTCCCCCCGTTCCCTCTGGAGTTCCCCTCAGCGTTCTCCCGCGATCCCGAGTCTCTCCCTCCGTTCCCTTGTGGACCCCCCCCCAAGGAGCCCCATTCTTCTCTTTTTGTACCCTTCTCGTCATTCTTCCTCTTGTGTGTTTTTTTTGTTCTGTGTTGTTTTGTTTTGTTTTTTTTGTACTGTTCTGATTTGTTTTTTTGTTCCTCTTTTTTTAATAACCCTTTTCCTCATCTTTTCTTCTTTCGTTACTCTTGATCTCAATACTCTCTCCACGCTTTGTTCTACTTTTCTTTCTGCTTTTGTTTTTCTTAATTGTTTTCAAATCTTCCTTCTCTCCTCCTCACTTTATTTTTAAATGGAGAAATTTACTATTATGCATTATCTCTGTTCTTTTTACACTTCTTTAACACTTAATTTTAAAAATTATTTTTCTTGTTCAATAATTTAAATTCATATAAGAAAAATATAAAAATGTGACACAAGCATAACACACACAATTTGTTTTAGGAACATTCTTAGACTAAGGTACAAATTTCTTTTTTACAATGTTATTCATCTTCCAAACATCAAAGTAATTGTAGTATCCAGAACTTTACAACTACAAAGTCTAGAATTTTTTTTAATTATTTAGTTAATTTTTTAAAGCAATTTAATTGTAAACGATTCTAACTATTTAATAAATAAATAAGAATTGGTTACCTAAATAATTTTAATGTAAAAATTAGAAAAAAATTATTGTATTATTATTATTATTGTTATTATTTTTGTCAAATTTATTGTATTATTATTATTATTATTATTATTATTATTGTTTTTATTATTTTTTTCAAATTTATTGTATTATAAAAGATTGCAGTATTTTCCAATAAAAAATAGCAATAAAAAATTTTAAAGAAGACAAATTACAATTAAATTTTGAATCAAAATTTATTAATTTTAATCATTTATTTAGAATCAAAATTAGATTGTCAATTGTACTTATAAAGTTTAAATAGTAATGTTAAAGACATACTTGTACTTAGTATGTCTTTAACATTAAAAGCTCTTTATTGCACAATTTACTTGTCTTTATAATTTGCAAAAATATTGAAAATATAATTCAATTTTAGCTCAAAAAATATTGTAATAATCCAATTGGTAGATTGCTCAAAATCATAGAAATCTTCACTAATTCTTAAAATTCATTTTTCAAGATCCTAATCTAATTGAATTTTAATAATCTCCAATCTTATTCTTCAATTTATTTAAAATTTATAAAATAGATATATAATAAGTAGGTCAACAATTCAACAAATATTTTCTTATCAATCTATAACAATGCTTATAAAAATTTCTAAAGTATAAACTCTTTTTATTTCATAAAATTCCAAAGTACCTTAAAAATCCCTAACTTTGCAAAACTCTCACTAAGTCAATAATTATAAAAATAATATAATTACAAAGGTGAGAGACCTTAGTAATGTTGATTATGTAAATTTTGTGGATATATGATTGAGTGATTATTGTACATGTAATAGTTGTAGGAGACCAACATTATGAATCTATCTTTTTTTATTAATAAAATTCATATTTTTAAGTCAAACTTGAAAAAATCTTCAGTTTACTTATGTATTTTTATGATAAAAGTTGGAGTTCTTGAGAGGCCCAAAAATCATAATGTTCTTAGATCCTTACCATGTATAAGATTTTTTTTAGTAGATAGTGGTCTTGATACATTATAGTGACCCTATTATAATATGCAAACTTGAGAATATATATGCGCATGATAATTTGCACTTTCTACTAGTAAATTTGATAAAACCAAATTTAAAGAGGAAGTAGGAGACACCTTCTTTGTTAGCAAAGGTCCTTTGAATTATTAAAAAGAGATAACATGTAATAGATACAAGCAAAAGAATCACCTACTTAGATATTAGAATGTTTCTAAATGATATCTCAAGTAAAGAATATGAGAGGTGTGAAGTCTTATTGATTGCAAAAAGCATTATAAATAACATTTCAAAGAGATGTTGATGTTTTGACAAAGTCTTTTACTTGACACTCTAAATTGATTCAAAATGCTACTTAAAAGTTAGAATTCAAAGTTGCATTATTGAAGTAGTATTAGAATTAGATTCAAATATCTTGTATAACTTGCTCTAAAGAAAGAAAGAAAGAAAAACATATTTTTCTTTATTGGAGTTGCAAAGATATTCCAACATCTTTCTAATACCTTATCAAAAAGTTTACATGAAAGGCTTTGGCAAGGCAAAGAAGACAAGTTTCAAAGAAGATGAAACGAATTAAATGTGAAAAAAATTAGCAACTATAAAGCAGATTACTTATCACAAAAAGTTAAGACCTATATAGGGTAGATAAAAGATAATTCAAGGTAATATCTTTTGATAAAATAAAGGTAAAATAAATATATTGATTTTAGATATCTAATAAGTTGGATCCTTAATGTTGGAATCTAAGCATGTAAGGTTGTAGTCTATAGGAAGTGGTAAGAAGAATGATAGATCTTTATGATTAAAATTGTTGTATCTAAATGTTATAGGATACTATAAAAAGAAGAGAAAGAGAAAAAAATAAAAACCTCCAATGCAAATACAACCTAACCTTATTTAAGTTAGGAAACAAATTGACTTGGCATAATTGATCATTTTAGGAACAACTGCATGTCTCTCTTGGATATTTTGGCCTCACTACTATGACATTTGTTATAATCTTACTAAAGAATGTTTTGATAATATGGATTATAAATTTATTAATAGAACAAATATTTTACTTAAAATAAAATATTTTACATCAGTAGATAATATTAAAGATATATATCAAATGATAATCAAATGTCTTTATTATAATTTATTTGCTTGAAAAATAATTATTTTGAATGATAAAATTATACATAAGATAAATTTAGATATCTAAATTAAATAAATTTGGATAGAATTTAATACTAAATAAGATTAAAAAGTCCAACTTTTAATAAATTAATTAGTGGCTATATTTATAATAAATTATATTATTTTATAAAATTAAGTTTATTTTAATATAATATAATAAAAAATAACATATTTATAAAAATAAAATAAAAGTATCAATTTTTGATTTGTAAATTGTAAATAAAAATACCTCTAAATTGTGGTAATATGTATTAGTTCAACCAAACATTCTTTAAGGTTTAATAAATAAATATACATATATATATATATATATATATATATATATATATCTATATATGAAGATAATAAAGCAATCAAATTTTTTTATTAAAGCAATCCACTCTATCTTAAGTATCATTGAACCCTTAGAGCTCCCATCCCTATTTCTAGCCATTCTTTATTCCCAACCATTGCTAGAGATGGGATAGAGGGCTAGGAAACATTGGAAATGGGAGTAACAGTTGGAAACATGGAAATGGCTAGGAACTAGGAAACCATTGGAAATGAGACATGTAGATTGATTAAGTAAAACTTTTGGGTTGCTTTATCATTTCCCTATATATATATATATATATATATATTAGAAATACAACCATAGTATAATGATATCTAAAATATTAGTAATTCAAATAGATTTTTTTATAAAATATAAAAATAAATTTACATTTTAAAAAGTCTTGAAATTGTTAAGGAATAGTGTGAAAAAAAGATCTTTGATGCATTCTAATTATAATAGATAAATTAAATATATTAGATGCATCTATAATAAGAATTCAATACATTCTTTTGAATTGAAATAGTATAAATCTGCAGCATGTATTTGATATAACCATAAAAACATAAAATTATAATAATAGTCAAATAAATTAATATAAATTGAAGAATAAGTAATATAAGCTATTAAATTTAGTAATTGATAGAAAAAAGAGTAAAAAATATTTTTAATAAAATTTTATATAGTACTCTATATGAATAAGAACACCAAATAAGAACCACATAGGATGACATTTGTTTTACAAGTACATAAAATACATAGAATTGTCAAATCAAATACCTAATTCTAATAAAATAGAATAGAAATATGAAGTTTTAAACAGAAAATAATAATTGATATTCTAAAAAAATAAATTAAAATAGAATAAATAAAAAAAATGAATTTTAAGTGTTTAAAGAGATTATATTAGAATTGGCAATTGAACAAATCCTAAAAATTAAATAATATTAAATTTTTATATTCTATTTCATAAAAAATAATTAATGTCTAATTTTTTTTTGTTCTTTTGTAAACATGTAAAAAAGTATCTTAATATGATTTATACATTAAGCTTCTAAATCCTAAAATAATTAGAAATAATCCATGAATTTTTTTGGTGATGGTTATCTTCTAAGAATGTTTTTATAAAATGTCTCTGAAATACTAAAGAATATTAAATAAAAATAAAATAATCATTATAAAGAAGATTTTCTATTCAAATAGAGATTCTAAAGAAATAACTAAAATTAGAGATTTTATAAAAGATTAAATGAAGATGCAGCATTTAATTAATAAAATAAGATTGAATACATCACAAAAATTAGAAAGAAGTAGTTAGATCTTACAATTTTTTAAAAATCTAAAAATGCACAAGTCTTTAAAATAATATTAGAAAGGTAAATGCAACCACTACCACCTTTTACAATCATAAATATACAAAATAATCTAAATTTATGTAGTAAATAAAAATTAAACAATAAAACTAAGAAACACAAAGTTTTTAACTCTAATACTAATGTCTTATACTTATAGATGTATAAAACAATATATATGTTGTAAAAAGTAAACCATAACTTCTAAAATAAATATATAAAAAATAAAAGATTTATTAAGATTCAGAAAATTGAAATAAACTAAATTAATGAAATATCTCTAATATTTAATATAATAACAAAATAAATTACATAATATTCTTCTAAGATAGAACTACTACAAATTACAACCAAACCAAATCAAAACATTGAGAAGGAAAGTAAGTTTATCTACAAGTATTTGGAACACCACAAATATTTGTAAAACAAATTATTTCAAAAATTGACTAAAGATATGCAAAGACGAAAAAGAAAAAGAAAAAGAAAAATCTTAATTGAGGTTTTAAAGAACAGGACTATTGAAAAAAACTTAAAAATAAATTTTCAAGTACAATAAAAAAAATTATAAAAAATAAATAAATAAATAAATAAAAATTGAAAACAATATCTTACAAAGAAGTTAAATCCAACTAAATGTTGATTGCCACTTAGACAACATTGAAAAAGAAAAATGAAGAATTGGAAAACAAATTATGAAAAAAAAACCAGCTTTGAATAAAAAATATTCAAACCTGCTAGAAGTTGTAAAATGCTAATTAGAATAAAGAAAAAAGACACTTTATTGATGTGGATAAGTGGGATAATCATATTAGTATATTTAAACATATCAAATAATGAAATAAGTTGAGGCACTTTTTAATTAAGAAAAAAGAATATACTAACGAACATGTCTCAAAGTTTCATAAAGTCTTCATGAGTACTAAGCAAAAACTCAGGCAAATCATTCAGTTCCATCATAAACTTTAATATTTTTTAAGTTTTAAAATAAATCATGTTTGATAATGTAGGATTGTCTTATTTTATATATGAAATTATCTATATTTCATTATATATATAGATATATATATATATATATATATATATAATAAAAATAAAAATACTATAATCATATATAAATATTATTTATTAGAAAATTATATAGATGACACATTATCAAAGGACATAGGCTACTTACTTTATCATTGTTTATTGTAATATATTTGTATTTATGTCTTGATCTTATATGCATTACATATTTTTTAAATATTATATTTATATAGATATTCCATAATCAAAAAGATTAATAATAGCATATTTATAAAAGTAAAAAGCTTTAAAAATGATACATGCCAATTATTCTTTTGTTAATAATGAAAGTATATTTTCAATTTATTTTTGTGGGGCTAAAATAGTCTATTAATTTGCTAAATTTTTGTAGTATCTTTGATATATTATTCCAATTTTTATGAATCACATGGGTTTTTTTATGTCATAATTAAAGTTAATACTTATATATTATTAATGTCTTGTATGAACAAAATGATATTAAAGATTAAATTTTATTGCCCATTCGTAAGAACTTGAAAAAAATAAATTTATAAATTATAAGACAAGTTAAGAATGTTATCTTTCATAATCAACTTCAAACTCTTCTACATTATCTTTTTTTGCCCCATATTACAAAAATCATTATTTAGATCAAAAACATATCTCAGAAGAGTTTTTTATAAAAACTTTTGCATTGATGTAACAAAATTCTATAAATATAAAAATACTTTGATAAAAAATGACATAATTTTATTATCCATTATAAGTTTAAAATAAAATAAAATAATGTAGAATACTTTTATTGAATTTGAAAATATACAGGTTTTCAACATGGCTAGGAGCAATTTAACTCACGTAACAAGTTCATCATTCATGTGAACCTCAACCTTTTTCTTTTTCTTTTTCTTTTTTTGTTATCATTATCTTTGTTATATATCTGTATATATACCATATTTAGTGTCTGAATTTTTTATATATAATTTTCAATTTTAAAAAATAATAATTCTTCTCCAAATTTTTAAAGATGAAATTCACTATCAACATTTATAGTATTGTCTTTTGATACTTACAAAGTTCATTACTTCAGATGTACATATTTAAATTATTAATATCTTATATTATATTGAATTAATTTCTATTTAATATTTTCTATGTTCAAACTTATTTTTAAACACAATGATTTATGTCAATGATGTGGTTGATATATATATATATATATATATATATCTATTCAATAATGTAGTAAAATGTTTTTTGATATTTTTTATTTTAAGAAAAATAACTAAGAAATAAAACTTATGTATTTTGTGATAATTTCTAAAAACATATTAGTATCCACACACAAAATGTATCATCAAGTTAAAATCTTCAATAAGTTTACAATGTGTAAACTGTTGCTTCAACCTTTGTTTATTAATTTTTATTTCAGAAATGCTTTATTTTTTCATCAAAACTAAATCTTGAAAAATCAATTTCATTCTTCTTTTAATATTATAGATTTTACAACTCATGCATAAAACTAATAAATGACGTATTCTATTACTGTATTGTCCTCTGTAACATCAAGTTCCACAGTTAAGTGAAACAAGTTTAGTTTACTTTGCTTTTACATCAAATTGCTCTTATCAACATTGTATTTTGATCTTTGCAAATTTGTATTTGATAGAAGAAAACATTACATACTGCTCTTTATAAAAAAATGACAATAAACACCAAAATAAAAATAGAACTATAAAGTAGCATTCAAGAGTTATATATTGGTGAGGGATGGCACACTCCATGTCAAATTGATTGTTTCTTTAATTATATTATTTGAAATTCTATCCAGAAATTTCGTATTGTTAGATGCAAAATCATAGATAATTTTATATATATATGAGGAATTGGTATGAATAATTAAATTTCAATCAAAGATATTGAATTACATGTGGACCCACGTTAATAGAACACATAATAGAGTAAGGTCAAGCTTAATTTTAAAAATTCCCAGTAATGTTTAAAACATATTACATTTTGATTATTTTAAAATCATTAAGAAAATAATAATAAAATAATGCTTTTCAACAAAACTATTTTTTTTTATTGCAAGATTACTACTCATATTCAACAATGGTAAATTGCTTAAGCAAGCTAGCATATACATTAATGTATCGTATGAAGAGTGATTTTCTTTAAAACAAGTTTCAGAAACCTCAAGTGTATGTATGTAGTGAAAATTTTAAAAAATTAAAACCAATTTGGCATAAAGTTCAGTGTCTTCAATATTAAACAATTCTTGTACATTTTGTTAGTCTTTTGGTATGAGTTTGTTATGAAAGAAGATAGCTTCAAATTTTAAGTGGTCAAATGATGAGGTAAAAGTTTTAGGATCAAATTAAGTATTTATTTCATTGTAATATTCTTAAGTAAGTATGAATGTAGATGTGTGTGTGTGTGTGTGTTTGTATCTATATCTATATGTACATATATATTTTTTCTTAGTCTGTATGTTTAGTTTTTAATGACTATGCAATTGAGCCGAATGTAACAAACCTTGTATAGATCATCAAAAATGGTTAGTAAACTTAAAAAAGACACAACTTTTTGAAAATACTTCTGTTGAATCATGTAATTTTAAAATCCAATTTAAAAGATGAATATGCTAACTATTATCAAGAATAATTATAAATAGTAAATTGAGTATATTGAACCAAATAACTGTCTTCCTTCAGATTGAGTTGCCTTTGCAATCATGCATTTGAATTTTGAAATCAGAGTTTATGTACAAATATTTTAAAGTTAATTGGTCTTTACAAAATCAAGAGATTAGTTAGTTCCTAATATGTGTAATTTCAAAACAACATTTATCAAAACAAAAAAATTCAGTGTGAAAAAAAAAGAAATTAAAATTTGATTTAATACTAAACCTGAATACAATTTATTAGAAAATTGTATTTTGAATAGTTGAATGAATGCACATTTTAGTTTGGATGAGTGTGTGGACAAAAATGAGCAAATGAGAGACATAACAACAAAATGTTCCGAGTCAATTAAGATACTGTCTTCTGACCATACAAATACTAATATTCTTTGAAACCCAAGTATTAAAGATCTAAATAAGTATGCTCTCAATACATATATATTGTATGGAATTGAAAACAGGTTCCATTGAGCAGTCTGGCTGGCAGAGGATCTGTGGAATCAGGGCTTCCAGCAGTAAAGGACCCATATGGAATATCTCCATATATCTATCTATCTATCTATAAATACATGCGCCCTCAGACTCACAGACTCACATACAAAGATTTCATCACAATAGATGGATGATAATAATATTACTTAGTCGAGCTAATATTCATCCATTGACGAAATTATGGATGATAACAATCAGATATGAACGAGATAGGATTCATCATCCATGGAATGGATGGATGAATACGAGGAGTTTTGGGTTTTCCTTATAATTCATTCATCCATACATCCATACATCCCGCCCGCACAATCAGGCTGGCTGGCTGCCCTGGCGCGTACCGTTGGAGCGAGCCCCGAGTTTGAAAGTGTGTCGCCCGGATTTGCGAGTTTTGTATCCGTTGGGCCTCCTCCTCCTCCTCCTCTTCCATCGCCACTTTTCCATTGCCCCCCGCCTTTCCCCCGTTGAATGTTCCTCATATTCTTGCCTCAATCACTGCCCTTCCCTCTGCGTCTCCACCGCGATGCTCTCCTCTGCCCTTCTTTTGCTCCCCCGATGGACTCGCAATTTGAGCCCTCTTTCTTGATTTTCAACTGTTTCGTTTCATTGAATCTGCTTCCCTCTTCTTCGTGAAGCAGCTGCTGCGGTTGTGTTGTCAGAGTGTATTCGCAAGAAGGAGATTGAGGTTGAGGTTTCATTCGGGTGTCATCCTTCGGGATTCTTCTTTACGGATGCCCCGTTTTCTAGTGCGTGTTGAAGTTGCCGTTCGTATTGTCTCCTTATTCTTTCGGACGCTGAGTTGATTGCGGGCGGGGTCTCTGTCCGTCTCTCTCTGCGTCGTGTTACAGGTTTCTCGTATTAGGGGGGCTCCGGAAGCAGGGGGAGCAGGGGGAGCTGGAGTTTGAACTTCGCCACGGTGAACGTTCTTGAGCGTCTTGAGGGAGAATTTTATGCCGTTTCGCTGGTTTATTAGTTTCCGGAAGGGTTAGCGTAGAGGCACATTTTTTTGTAGTCTGGGAGTTGTACCGATGTGATTAATCCCGTGAAATAGCAAAAGCCAAGCGACGGGCTGGGGCAATCAAACAATGGCTACCTATAGCAGCAGGAAACCAGCGTGGGGAGGACAGAAAGAAAATCAGCAACATGAAACGCCGATGGAAAAGAAGAGGAAGCTCCTCGGGAGTGCAGCGTCTGGGGTGAAAGTTCGGTCTCACAGAAGTGTTTTATCTGTGGTCAATATAAGGGTGGAGGGTAGTCCTGCTGGCAGATCTTTGGAGGCTGGAACTCCTTCCAAGGCAGGCATGGCTGCTGTGATAGGTGATGGCTCATCTACATCCGCGGCAACTGTAGAAGCTCTTTTGAATTTGAAGATGTCAGGGAAAACGAAATTCGATTTCAAGGTAATTCCTATCGTCGGCCGTTTTGGTTATTGCCCTTTTTCAGTTCTTCGTTCATTGTGTAACACCTTCCAATCACTCTTCAGACACTCTTAGAAGTCCTCTTGTCGGGTGGCGTTCAGGGATGGAACGACTCACCCAATCCTCCTTCACTATTCTACTTATCTGGAATCCATGTCTACTCAAGGAGGGGTAAATGTATGGTCATTTCCTGAGTACATGCACTAGCCATCAGCGTAGATGAGTCCTGAAAGGCACTTCGCTAGGACGTGAATGATGCCTTTGACATTCTCGTAGGAGGTCAAACGCACTTCCTCGTATTATTTATAGCAGAAACTGCGTTCCTAGCTCTCTATGACTAAAGTCAGGCGATGGCGAGGAGATGCTTCGACCGCTTTTGTGTGTCTGATACCTTCGTTTCCGCATAGGATCCTGATGTGCCTCAAATGTATCCAGCTGCTTCCGTAGAGGCTTCCTGAGCAAGGTTGAGGCGTTAACAATCTCGATTTAATTAACTCTCAATGAGTTCCTAGACGACCTCAAGTCACCAAAGTCAAGTTTGTATCTGGTCGAAATTACACTCACAGTTCAACTGGTATCCTAGTCTCGTTGGTAGCGGCCCATAAATCAGAGAATTATTGTCATGTACTTCCTAGAAAATTGAAATTTAAACACCCTGCTTTTCAACAGTCGTACCCATAGCTCATGCGAGATCACGAATTAGGATCTTATGATTTCGCTCTCTGCTCTCCGAATCTGATTCTGGCAGGGTGTAGTTTCGTCGTTGGTGTTAAAGTTCTACTCCCTATCTATGCCAGGAATGGTTTTCTAATTCTTGTCTCTGTCCAACCACGCTGACTCGTATCAGGGAAAGAGTGAGCAGATGATGGACTACATCAAAAAGCTTCGCACATGCGTACGAGCCTTTCAGGAGCTGGACGTGAATCACTCCCAGGAGAAAGCGCAATACATGAAGCAAATTGACGATGAAAGACAGAGCCGCGTCGAATCTGGTTGTCACTTTGCTACATATCTCCCAGTGATATGACGATTACTTCAATTGTATTTGTCCCTGGGTACCGTGTACCACTGTTGCAATGTCTGCAAGCTGACTTCAATGGACTGTGTATCATTCTGACATTTACCTACCTTATTGCCAATCCAGAGACTCAAATGAGAAACCAATCTCTCCAATTGGAGTCTAGCAACGCAGACCTCAAATCCTCACTGTCTCTTTTAGAACAGGAGTTGAGGTTCGAGCAGTCTGCGAAGCAGGTACGACTGATTTTTTGTACGCCTGAGTCAATTTAGTTGGGCATTTATATGAGGGAGTCGCCAGTTATCTTGCGGATAGTCGTCCTATTTCGCACCTGTAGGGGATTGTCACGTGCTGAAATTATGGAATACTTTTCTACAGGCGCTTGTGCGTGCTGAGGAGAAGCATGTCGAAACTATTCTGGTCAGAGAAAAAGAATTGGCTACCCTGAGTGAGCAAATCGAAAAATTGCAGGGCGAACTGACCTCTTCGAACAAACAAGTATTTTAAACCTCCATTCACCTATTTTCCTGAACTGGTGCCGTAAGGGCAAACTTTGATTGTTAGTCACACCCGATTATCCGAGGCTCACTTCCTTTGGTATCTCGCGACGGATCTTCAGATCTGCATAGAACTGGACTTTATGTATGAATCTGCCTGTGAATCATAGTTATTTGTTGGTAAATCGGCATTCTCTCTGTATTTTCTTAGAACGTTCTGTTGGTGTCTATAGGTTGCTGTATTACAAGACATCAACAAGCGACTACAGGAGTACAACACAAGTTTACAGCAATATAATAGTAAATTACAAGTGGATGCCAGTAATGCCGCTGAGACGTTGTCTCGCACATTAAAGGAGAAGGCTGCTATAATGGAAAGTTTAAGTACACTCCGTGGCACTACGACATCTCTTAACGTTCAACTTGCCACCGCCAAGGTATGTATGAGGCTTCCTATGGCTCCATGCCTATATTCTGTAGGGGATGTGACCGGTTTGAAACAAAGGACTGTTATTTCTACCAACTGATTTTTATTTATTTCTTTCTTTTTATTTTCTAGCTTCTCTACAGTCGAAATGAATGCAGCACAGATGCAGTTCGTCTCTCCTTCAGGTGATGTGCGATCAGCTCTATGGCAGTCATTACCTGTTCTCAAGTTATTGTAAGCCCATGTGAGGATTGGTTTGATTACACAGGCGACCTTACAAGAGAAGATCCAGCAACACAAGGACGCAGTTGAAGAGTCAACTAGGCTGCGTGTGGATATTCTACGCTTTTCTGAGGATCGAGACCAGCAAGCTAATCAGGTTAGCCTACTGTTTCCAGCCTGTGGTTATTTGACTATTAAGTGATCCAGGCAGACTCTTCCGTGTTCAATAACCACCTACATTTAATATTCAGTACTGGTGTGTGACTCGGGTTGCAGGTTGCAGCTCTTGAAGCTGAGCTTGCGATGTTCAAGGAGTGTACCGGGAAGTCTGTGGCGGAGATCAAGCTTATTAGCAACAAAGCAGTTGCTCTTGAGGTGCTTCTCAATCCTGAATGTTTGAAAGGGTTTCTGGCTGGGAGTCCATGCCTCAGTGAATTGACTGTCGATTGACCTTTACAGGAGAGCTACTCGTCAGCGAATGAACTTATCAGAGCTCTTCGTCAACAGCTAGAGATTGCCCACCACAAGTTGGAGGTGGCCGAATCTCAACTGGAACTTAGTCGTGGTGAAAGTGCGAGTCAGAGCATGAAATATGCGGAGGTTGTGGAGCGTCTAATGGAGGCTGAGCAGAAGGTTAAGGAGGGCGAGCTGTTGAGAAGGAAGCTGCACAATACCATTCTGGTATGCTTACGGTCTTCTGCTCTATTGGTCTAAATAATGCAATTGAAAATTTACTCAAGCTAGCTTTCTCTCCGGTCTGACCCAATGAACTTTGTTGGCTTGTCTGACTCAGGAATTGAAGGGTAACATCCGCGTGTTTTGTAGAGTGAGACCTCTTATGGTAGAGGAGGAGGATGGGAATGAGCAAGCCACTGTGCAATTTCCATCTAGCACGGAACTGCAAGGTCGTGCAATCGAGCTTGCGCAACCCGCAGGTAATGTCATCTCTTCGTGTTTTCGACTAAGGCTTGGAAACCAGTCAAGTAATCCACGTAACAATTCCCCGCAGTTGAACGTGAAGAGTAGTGCGGTACCACAATGGTTTTGATGATTAGTACACTCATTCCGACTATCCTATTTGTTCTGATGTCGCATTTTGCTACCATAAGTAGAGAATGTAACCCTTTTGAGGCAACAAAATCTATGTCTTCACCTCACATTGCTGTTTTTATTTCACCAGGGGGACCCAAGCATTGTTTCCAATTCGACAAAGTGTTTGGGCCTGAAGTGAAACAAGGTGGTGTATTTGAAGAAATCTCTCAGCTAGTACAGAGCGCCCTTGATGGATACAAGGTGAAGTTCTACGCCCTCATCACCTTGCCTGGTGAAATGCCCGTGATAGTTGTAGCCATGTTACTCACGTCAGTATATCTTCAATTTTTTATCTCTCTGCTCTGTCCTTCAGGTCTGTATATTTGCGTATGGACAGACCGGGTCGGGTAAGACGCACACGATGCTGGGAAATCCAGAGATACCTGATGAAGGAGGCGTTATTCCCCGCTCTTTGGAGCAGGTTTTCGCCTCCAGTCAAGCTCTTATAGCTCAAGGCTGGAAGTTCTGCATGCAGGTATTATCCATTGACTTTCCACTGACTCCATGCTTTGTAACAGTTTTATTTTGAAAATGCCCACTAATCGTCGTACCATCAACTGTGCAGGCGTCGATGTTAGAAATCTACAATGAGACAATCCGAGACTTGTTGGCTAAAGGGCCAGTCAACGGCGATGCTAAGCAGATGTACGTGGTGAAGCATGACCAGAGTGGTAATACAACTGTGTCGGACTTGTCACTTGTGGAAGTCACCACCTGGAAAGAGGTTTCTAATCTCCTGCACCGAGCATCTCAGAGCAGGTATCGTGCTCTTCTGCACTAGTCATCATCCTCGAACCCGTTAGTTGTGAATTCGTCCGATATCTTCTTACTTTTCTGTCGTTCTTCTCTGACCGCAGGTCTACAAGTAAGACGGCAATGAATGAGCAGTCATCGCGCAGTCATTGCGTCTTCACTCTCCGAATTTCTGGTGTGAACGAGGTATGTCACAATCCTGGTCTCATAGAAGGTCATGTCCAGTCATTGTTGATCAGAAGTACTGTTCAGAGGTAACCTATGCATTGAAATTGACCATGTCCTAAATTATTTCCGTTCATAATTTTTTTTCACCTGGCCGATACAAGCGTTGCATCTGCAGGTATTCTCTTATGTCATACTTTCTAGATATCTCCTTCGCCCTTCTATTAGTATAACTGTTCTTTCTTCCTTTTGTCAGGGAACCGAACAAGCGGTACACGGAGTTTTGAACCTCATCGATTTGGCTGGTAGTGAGCGTTTGTCTCGCAGTGGTGCCACCGGAGACCGTCTTAAAGAGACTCAGGTAAAATTCATTCACTGTCTAAATCTTGAATTTGGTGCGTTTCGGTCTGGTCAGTAAGATTTACGGGGATGGACATTAAGACTCTATGACGTCACCCTTACAGAGAGGGCGAATGTGCAATGGATTACTGAAACCTGTTTCTCTTGACAGGCTATCAACAAGAGCCTGGCTAGTTTGGGAGATGTCATAATGGCAATCGCCAACAAGGACCCCCATGTTCCATTTCGCAACTCCAAGCTCACCTATCTCCTCCAAGTAAGGCTTCTGAATGATGTGCGAATCGGTCATCACTATCGTTCTAATGCAAAGTATATAAATAAACATGGGTATTGCATCTAATATTGCACTCCCTGAATTGAGTGCGTTAAAATATTATTATTGTTATTTCTCTTACTGACAACTTGCTGTCACTGACAATTTACTGTTTCAGCCTTGCCTAGGGGGAGATTCAAAGACCTTGATGTTTGTCAACATCTCGCCTGATATGAAATCCTTGAATGAGTCCTTGTGCTCTCTCAGATTCGCAGCCAAAGTGAACGCATGCGAGATAGGTGTTCCCCACCGCCAAACTTCTCTGAGCGTCCGCTCAAGTTAACTGGTAGCTACATTAGCATATGTTATTTTTTAGGCGGAGATATGTACTCTGGACTCACACTATTCTGTGATGTGAAGGATCGATCCGGGTCTTGACATCTATCCCGTGTAAGGTCCGTGAAAACCCAATCTGCAACCTGTTTGTGTCGGATTTTCTGTAGGACTAGAGATCATTCCGATTGTAGAATATCTGTCCGAAAGTCAGCGGCTAGATCATGGTATCAAGCTCAGACTGGTACAACTCTTGGAGTTTCTGGCTCCTGTAGTGCTTAGACTGGTTAATTAGGCCTTTATGTCGCAAACATGTACAAATGGACACACAATTCTATTCCTGCTACAGTCACTTATCAGTGGAAATTTTCACATCAAGCTCTGCGCTTGATGGTTTTGCTCCTGCTACATGAGCTCATCATGAGAATCTGATTCATAGAGGGCGTGTTCAATATGATCATGTGATTGTACCTTTGCCCACCTCCTGGCATTTAGATTGGTGCTAAAGATGTAGTTCTGTAGCATTCAATTGTTCGCAATCATCTTAATTGATCTACACTAACCAAATCTCCGAAACACAACCCAACCCTGCTTCTCGTAGATGATCGTGATTAAAGTAGTGGAGCGTCTAAGTTAAAGCAGAAACATGGACCCTATGTACGAAAGAGAATGCTTGTATCATTTGTCCTAGCTGAAGCTGGCTGATCCATTCTCGACCACATTGCTTCCTATCTATAGGGTTGGGTATTTCTGTAAGGCTTGTGATCTATTTATAACCAATTCTGACATCCTATGGTCAAAAATAGGTCAAGGACTGATTAAGTCTATAGTGTGTCTGATAATGAAAAAGTGCCATAGGATGGAGTAGGCATATTTTGATATAGGTGGCATTTGTTGATTGGTTGGGGTGTAATAATAGCATAGTTAGATGGCACACTTCTCTTAATAGCATAATTAGGTGTCACACTTCTCCCTTTTGTAAAAGTTGGATCTTTGGTTTTGTAACCCACCACATGTTGGAATTAGATTGGATTCTATGTTGAAAATGGCCAAAGAGAATCTTCAGCTAAAACATTTATATAGATTTTATTTTTGGACCAAATTCTATGAAAACACTTGAAATCCTCTTGATTTCTATTTTCCTACATAAAGATATTTTTTACATTTTTATACATATTGGATAAATACTTAAGTTATTAGAAATGGATTGGCTACCTTAGTTGCCAACTTTGACAACCTAAATTTAGAAGAATTATGTGGTATGACGGTTATCATGTATGGTCATCACAACAAGATCATCTCTAATGTCTAAAACTTATCAAGCTAAGAATATTGATGAGACTAAACATATTATTAGTTTCCAACATCTTCTCTTCCTTAGCTTTCAATCAAAAAAGAAAGGAGTGAGCTTGCAAGTATGATAATATATTACAACAGAACTTAGAATGTTTGCAAATGATAGAATGTGAGTTTGATATAATTGGCAAAAACAAATGGCAGTAGATTAAGTTAACTAGATCACATTATAATGCAAGAATAAATGCATGCCAAAAAAATATTTGTGTTTTTTCAAAGACTGCTTTAGATACCTATTTCACTAATATATTTATATGCTTATTTTTGGTAGAAACATATTGAACAATTACTTTTCTTTAAAGAATTCTCTTACATACAAAATAATGTTTTGCTTTTATATATTTTGTCTAAGCATAGAATACATAATTTAGAACCAACTTAATTAAGCCTCACTTATCTCAACTTAAGTCTAAGTCTTCTATTGTAGAAACATGAGCTAGATCAAAGATAATTTCTTTGTAAGCAAAATTGAGAGAGATAGGAAAAAATATACATTTAGTTTATGCAAAAGCCTCCAAATATATACTACTTCTTTAGTAGACTTAGATGAGGCTTTGTGCTCCACTTCTATTGAATATGTAGCATGTTGTTCTTTGTTTAGTGATAAGGTAGCCCAAGTAATCAACATTTATGAATCCTTCTAAAGTAAAGTTAAGAGATCTTTTAAAAAAGATTTTATACTTGGCAATTTTTATGATATATCTTAGAATTTTCTTTATTATATCTAAATATTTTTGTTGAGTCTTAATTATAAATTATGCTACAATATCAATAATATAAGATGATTTTGATTTGATATTAATAGAAAATAAAAGTTTTTTTTCACTATCTTGCAATTCTCTACAGAGTTGACAATAATAATACTACCATTAAACTTGGTGATAAATCCTTCAAGTAATAGAGTGTGCTCAAATTTGCAACTTTTTATGCCAAAATCTAAGAATATTTAAGAAACATTCCATCATGAGTGTGTACAAAATCTATTCTAAGATATTTACAAATTTTGCCAAGATTATTTATTTCATATTTATCTTGCAACTATTTCTTAACAAGTGAAATGCATTTATTGTTATTTTTGATAATGAATAAATCATCTACATACAACATGAGTATAGTTATGAACTCACCATCCTTAAGATAGTAGGGATTTGGATAAGCTTTACTCTTACTCCATCCATAGCTTTATAAGTAAGTATTGAACTCTTCATATCATATTCTTAGAAATTGCTTCAATCCGTATAGTAATTTATAGAGCTTATAAATAAAATGCTTAAGTCTTTGTTTGCAAAGCCAAAAGATTATTCCATGTAGAGCTCTTCTTAAAGTGTTCCATTAAGGAATATTGTCACAACATCTAAGTGACTAATTACAAGGGCAATGATAGTCTCTAGTATGACCATTTCAACAACCAAAGCAAAGGTATTGTTGTAATTTATCCTTTTATATTGCTTTAGACTTCTTGCTACTTATTGGACATTTGAAAGTTTACATGTATGATTCTTTGGTTGTGAAAAGGGTTTTTAAACTAAAAGCCCATTTATTAGAAAAAACATGTCATCCAAATAGAAGCTTCATTAATACCTATATTCTTTTTGTGCTTTAGAGAATCAAATTCTTCTTACATAGCAACCACTAATCTAAGATCAAATACAATATCTTTTGATAAGATATTAGCATTTACTAAATGTGATGTCTATATAATATAAATGTCGGCATTATCTAAAAATTATAGATTATAAGCATGATATTTAGATGGCATATTATAGTGCATGTGCTTTGATGACTTTCTTGTGATCTAAATTGGTTCTTTATTAGTCACTACACCTTGTTGTTTGCAAGTGATCGGGCTTAGAATACTTTATTATTTAAGCTAGTTCTTTTCATGCTTGTCATACTTGTCTTTTACAAGAAGCACATCATTTATTGTACCATGATACTAAATTTCTCACTTTGGTTCCTAATGAGGTAGTGTAGAAACTTTAGTGCTATCAGTAGTGCTATCAATTATCCTAAACTTTGACAACCTAAACACAAAAGGACTATGTTTTGTGATGGTAATCACATACAACCTTCAGAACAAGGTTAATACTAATGTCCAAAGTTTATCAAGCTTAGCATTGGCGACACTAAGCCCATTATAACTTTCCAACATCAATACAATAAAAACTGCCATTTTTTAAACTAGCACTTGTTCATTATGCTACAAAACATTTTGAATGAAGCTGGAATAAAACACACATCCATTGTAATGATTGTAAGTTACAATGAGAAGAAACAAATTCCTTGGATATAATAAAACATATGTTTATTAGATTGGTATATAGATTAAACCTTGTATAGTTTGGATATTTCTGTTTGTATATTTATTCATTTATTTATTTCTATATCTATTTGTTTATTAATATTATTTTAAAGTTAAAGAATTTTTTATAATAAAATATAAATATGGATTTTATATTTAATATGAATTATCCAAAAGAATCTTGAATCTATTAATAATCAAACATTATGATCTTTACATATTCATATGTATGTATATATATAAATATATATATATATATATGTGTGTGTATATATATAAATATATATATATATATGTGTGTGTATATATATAAAGAAATAATGTACATATATATATATATATATATATATATATATATATTTGATAAAATTTCATAAAAATATTTTTTTCAAAGATTTTCACTATCTTTAAATGTAGATTTTGATTAGCTTTTGCTTTATAATTTATGTTAAGTTATATAATCTTTAACTATCTATTTTTGTATAAATCCTTATTTTGTGAACTTATGTTTTAAAAAACTAACAACAATAGTGATTCAAAAAAAGATTTAAACCATTATTTTATGTAACCACAACAACTAATATAATGTTTCAAGTTATTTTTTTAAAACACATTAAAGTGTTAGTATAAAAAACTATTTTGAAAGTTGAAGTGATACTTAAGCAAATCTTGTGTAAATACCATGTTAAGTTCAAAAGCTTAGTTTACACTAGAATGTACATTAATCTTCATATAAATCAAGTAGCATCATAGTAATGGTAATGTATAAATAAGATGTTTCAATTTTTCCTTCCAAGTATACTTATGCTTAATTACTTTACTATTAACTGATTTATTTTCACATTATAATTTAAGTCATTTAAACTTTAAGGTTGCTATAGTACATACATATCAAACAACATAATGAATAAATAAACCAAAAAAAAATCTCTGTTTCCTATTAAAACATCATTCAATAAGCAATTATTCTAAAGTATCAAAATAATAGTTAAGTTGGACTTTGGTATCTATAAATTTTGGGTTTTAAACCCTCAAAGTTTTATTTTATATATATACACAAACCATTAGTTTTTCTCATATATCTATAATCAAGAGGTTTGAAAAAATGTAAATTAAGATGAAAATACATTATCAAAAAATACAAATTCAAATTATTAACAAATTATTTATAATATTTTGATGAGGACAATTGCATTGTTGAAGTATACATTGTCATGTGATTATATGATTACTTTCTTGGTGATTAAATATTTCACAGTACACTAATAACGATTTTGTTTATTTTCAAATCCTAAGTTATTTGATTTATTATTTATGTTCGATATCAAATATTTAATTCTAGACACCCATTATGTAGATACCCTCCTTTTAGGACACCTCTTGTGCCACACGTATATTGTTGTCATGATCATTATTTTGTAATATTGTTGTTCGTTGAAAGGCTGAAGTAATACCAATGCTCAAGTCCAACCGAAACAACCCAACGATTGCCTTGCATTTTTGATTGCGTGTGTCAAAGACCCTAATTCACTGTCATAGATTACATAGCTAAAACTGAAAAGTAGAATGTTGACGATGGAACTGGACAATGTTAATAGCGACTTTTCCACTTCCTTACAGAGAATGATTGCCAACGTAGGAAGAGAAAGCGGAATTCCAAGACAGATCCCTGACTTCCAACACGTCGATGCAAGACCATGCCATCAGCGGGGCCTAACATATGCAAAAACCAAAAATCTATCACCTAAGGTCTAGATACAGAAAAAATCGGCCAAAATGCAGTAAGAAAATATGACACGCTGCAGGGAGACATGTAATACACATCCGCTACAAAGTGAAAGATTGTTTATAAGCAAAAAGTTCACCAAAATCTGTGGCTTGCCCCCAAGTAGTTAATTATAGGCTACATTGACGGCCAACAGACAACATTCACATGGCAGCCAGTGCTGCAGTAATCCATTGTCTACACAGGCCTAATAATGCATCGCTACATTACAGCAAACCTAATTACTCCAGATTGTTACAAATCCGTTTGTCATGATCGAATAACCTGCAATGTTCAATAGACAAATCCAGCACAAAAGAGGACCTGACAACATGACAATATTCCCTTGAACACCAGAGACAATAAAACAGAGGTTATGAATTACCACATCCCTAGCTTTGAGTGGCTGATACGGCTGGAGGCTGACTACCTGGAACGGCAGGCACACTTCCAGCAGCAGCTGAATTATAATCGTAGCCACTTGTAGCAGGTGGAGCTGTTGTCTCTCCAGATGTGGCAGTGTAGCCAGTTTGACTTTGTCCATAAGCAGGATATCCTTGTTGCCCATACGATTGCTGGTCACCTTGAGCAGGCGGAGCATATGAATATCCACTGTAAGGTGGTTGGACATATGCCTGCTGAGAGTAACTTTGCTGACTGTATGTTGTAGCCGGATCACCGTATGTTTGAGCTTGAGCAGACTGTTGCTGGTAACCTTGGTAGTAACTTTGCTGATTATAGCCAGCAGAATTAGGAGGATTTGTTGCACCCTGAGGCGGTTGATGTGCCTGGAGAACAGAAATATTCCATCCAACTTTGAAAAGTAAGGAATTATTCACATCTTACAAAACAGAAATGATAATAACCAGAACGTCCGAGGCATCACATTCGAAAGGAATGTGTTCCGTACCTGCTGATTTTGCTGCCCATAGTAGTCATAAGATGATTGTTGTTGAGCCTGTGTAGCAGATGCAGGTGACCGCTGCTCCCAACCAGAAGAATAAACGCCAGGAGGTTGTTGGGAAAATTGACCATAAGCTTGGGGGGGTGCTTGCGGATATGGTTGGGGAGGACCAGGATAATGAGCAGGCTGCTGGTATCCATAAGGTGGAGGGGCACCCGGTGGACCCCATTGCTGAGGCCCTGAGGGTCTGTATCCAGAACCATACTGTAGGTTGTAGCCACCTGGAGGTCTTGAGGTACGATTCTGCTCAAGCATCCACCAAAAGCAACCAAATAGAACCTTATAATGCGCACCATCACACGAGACAACTGCCAGAAATGTTTCATGCATGCATTCTTCCATTCTAGAAGACACATCAGCTTTGAATACACGAACAAAGACAAAATTCCGGGAAAAAAAGAGAAAAAAGAAAAACCCGCATATCAAAAGATAAGCAAGTTCATGGCTCAACAAGGACACTTAGCAAGTAAAAACCACCAGGCAAGAGAAAGAGGGCAACGCTGACAGTTCAAAAACATCGCACCACAAAAGTCATGAGGTTGGTCAATATACACAAGCTGGACAAATCACTCTCACCTCATCCAAATTTGGGTGTGGACTTTCAGGCTACCGGCGACACATTGAAGCCCCATCCTTGCTCAGTGCAATTTAAGTGCACCTGTTCCAGGCTTGACTAAAAACGTCCATCCCTTAAACCAAAGCGGGACTCACAAACATAACAGACGAAGATAGCTCTAGAACCACATAGGATGAACCTCCTTGTCGCAAAAGGTGAAACTTCATAAGCTAGAATATGCATCCTAATGGCTAGACGATATAATCCACACCCATGATTTTGGCAATCTGCATATTTAAAATAAGCAAGGATGTGCCAAAATACATCTTCAGTGCCCAGAAATAACATTACACCGTAATTACCTGTAAAGCATCATTCCTGAGAACTTGACTTTCACTGGGGAGTAGCCTAAAATCAGAAGTGATGCCGTCTGAAGTCCACATACCTTTCTCAGCGGCCAATTCATCAAAATTAGAACTTTTACTAGTACCCAATCAAGCTAAGTCTGGTATAGGAAACAACTTGATTCCATCATATGGATCGCTAATTCAGTAGCTTTAAGTGCGAAAACTCATAAGCTCTGATCTATAAATGAACATAGATTTCCAAGAGATAGGCTTCAGAGTAACAAATTAAAATGAAAGTAAGAAGAAACAGAATATGACTTATCGTTTACAGGTGCAGCAGTGGATTAAAAAACAAGCATCCATAAATTAGAATTTAGAGAGCGATTCTGTGATGAGATAATGTAATCCTTCAGCGAAATGTTGCAACTGTGACTAAATTAAAAGACCCTTTGGTTCACCTACGAATCACAAAACCAATACGTGTCGTACAGCTTTGTTCAGTACCTTACGACGCTCCAGATGGCGCAACATATCCTCGATTACTAGTGAGCTGTCAGAATTAGAACTCATCGCATACAAAATCATGGCCAACACAATCATTCTCAAAGAAGCCGCAAGCTGAGTCAAGGCAAAGTGAGATAAGTTTCAAACGGCAGTGTATGTAGATGGACCTAGAAGGCGATCAGATGATAAAACGTCGCAAAAAGAAGCGGGAGTGAGGCGACAAAGAAGATCGAAAGATACCCTTCCACACAACCGAATGCAGTAACAAACAATGACCACATATATCGACTCCACCAGGCGCACGCATGCATAGGATTTGATCTGAAAGTATTCTGAAAGCAACCATACCTCGTCAATTACTTCCTTAATCAATTCATACGCCATATCAGTAACCTTCTTGATTCCTATGAGCGTAACCACCCTCTCGGTGGCCCCTGGCTCAGTCTCAGAGTCATTTTGCACCTGAAACATGTTATAAAACAAATACGTGCTACGTTAAAACATGCAATTGACACTTCCATTGGCCGCGATGGTAAAAGAAACACAAAAAAATTTAAAATTTATCGAATGTTTAATGTCCCTCCATCTCCACCACCACCACCATACAGCACCTGAATTCGAGCTCCGGAACGACTCTGAAGGCTTTTAATCGTCTCCCCACCTCTTCCAATGATCAATCCAACCTGCAAAACCCCGAATCTAACTGTCAATCATAAATCTGACGAAGTATGAACCTTTCAAGTTGTACGAATGTACATTGGGAAAATAAGAAACCTTGTTGTTCGGAACTTTAATTTGTACTTGCTCTCCCCCATGACCGCCAAAACTACGACCACCGAATGCACCGCCAGGAGCCCCAGTGGAGGCCTGCTAAGAATTCGAAAAAAAACAATTGAATAACATTAGAACTGGCGCATCCACCCTTTCAAAAACCAAGTTCGATCTTCAAAGTGCCCCAAACTTAGAGTCACGACATTGGTTCAAGCATCAAAACACCAGCGTCTAAATCGATACAACTGAAGGACAAGATTCCTAGATTCTAAAACAAAGGCTTGAGAGAAGACCTCAGCAATGACATCTTTCACAAGCTGCTCCGCTCTACTGATCTGCTCAGGGGTGCCCATAAGCTCTACTTGCCGTGTTGACGAGCGAGGATCGGACTCACCATCCCTTGCCACTTGAATACGAGCACCAGATTGATGTTGCAAGTACTTGATGGTCTCGCCTCCCTTGCCAATAACAAGTCCAACCTGCCAATGAGACATTGAGGAAATAAGAAATGTGTTCAGAAAGCAATCGCGCAAACCTCTTCAGTATGCAGTCCCCACTTCATGCCAATTACACCACTTTCTTATCAGAATAGAGTCTCTTCTAAATTATGATGATGACAACGACGGCTGACCTTAGAATTTGGCACCTCGATCTTTCTTGATTCATGAGGACCGCCTTGGTTGTAATACTGATGAGAACCATGTTGAGGAGGCTGATGGTACTGCTGAGAATCAAGGTGAGCAGGTTGATGAAACTGCTGAGGATTATGTTGCTGGTACTCTTGATGTTGCTGAAACTGATGGAAAGAAGAATTTTCTTCCGGAGGCTGTTCGTGGTTATGCTTGGAATTGTCATCTAATCAACGTGATAAGCTCGTAAGTCAGTGAACACGATTCGTGAAGATCCCATACGTAAATCACTTAGCAACAAAACAAGGCTACCTCAAGAGGACTCCAAGATAGGAAACTTAGTCAACACTAAGCCTACTGTAAAGAGCGTGATGTCAGCGCAAACCAGAAGAACGGACAGCAACTGTGCACACAGAATTTCCCTCTACTTAACACGGGAGGGGGGGGGGGGGGGGGGTGTGTTTGTAAACAGACAAATTCCTACACAGAATTGAAACGTGCACCTGAAGGTCATCAAGGGTTGTTTCAATCTTACCAGCAAAGGTTTCGCCCAGATCCAAGCCATTCGGGCGCACAGGCGCACTGTGATCCTCCGCACTAGTTTCTTCCGTCCGAGGCCGCTTGGCCTCAGCCCCGACCAACCTCGCGGCTATCTGGGCAGCCTTCTGCTTCGCGATCTCAAACTCTGAAAGCGGCGGTGGCACATTATTATACGAAACGACGGGGGCAGGGCCTGATTCTCCACCGTCCAAGCTGTTCCCATTCGTGTTACCAAGCACAGGCTCCTCGTTGTCCGCCGTATCGTCAAATTTACGCTTCTTCTCCGAGCGAGGGGTTTGCTCCTCGCGATTTTCCGTGGCCACAACTTCGCCATCGTGAGCCATAATACAAGGAAGGCACGATGCAAGAACTGATGCAAAGGAGAAGCTCCTACCGAGTTGAGAGACACTAACGAAGAGGAAAAAATTGGTGAGGAAATGGAAGAGGGATTCACTAAGAGTCGAACATGAGGAAAATAAAGAAAAATTAAAAAAAAAAAATTAAAAAAAAAAAAAATCTCGCACACAAAAACACTCACAGACACACACACAGAGAAAGAGGGGAAAGCACAGTTCTGGCCCTAACCTAAAACCAGACCAGTCTCGACCGTCGATCTCCTGCCCCGGCGAACAATCCCAGAAGTTCGAGAGGGTGAATGAGTGACCGACTGGCTGTGCATGACCGTGTCTTGCTGACGAAACTGTGTTGTCCTTCCGTTCGTTCCCTTTCGACGTTCCCCGTTCCCTTCCAGGAGAGAGAGAGGAGAAAGCTGGAATCGGTCTCCCTCGCTGCCACTTCCACACTGATTTGTGACCCCTTTGCACATGACGATGCGACTGATTCAGCGCAGAATTGTAATCCTGAGCTCGTTTACAAGACATATTCCACGCCAGTTTTGAACTGATTAAAGGTGCCTCCATCTATTTAATGAAGGAAGCTTAGGTATAAGACAAATAACTAAAGAAGCCTTCTCATTGGCCAAAATCAAATAAATTTTTAATTTGTAGAAAGCCCTGCATAAGTTACGAAAACACCTCCAATTTATTATTTGTAGATCAAATTTTTTCACAACTAGTCAAAAATATAACAAAAACAATTCATCATGGATTTATAAGTTGAAGGTGTAATTAAGCCTACACATTACAAGTTTTGCACACATGAATATTTAATTATCATTCTCTATTAATTAATTCACTTTGCACTTCTCTTCTCACTTTGTTTATTGACCTTAACTTTTTTGTTGAAAAAACGTTCTCAATATGACACAATGGAAGAATGAATAAAACCTGGCAAAGAAATAAAATAGAATGGCTGATGTTTATAGTTCACCAACTTTGTTTACAATGACAAGTAGTGCAAAAGTTGTTCATTTGCAAAGGTAAAAGAAGGTTTTTCATTCTTTGACATTGGTAACCACAAGTGCTATTCTTATAAATAAATAAATACATAAAAACTTTAAGTTTCAATCTTAAATGCTCTCTGCTAAGAATGCAATACCATGCTATAGATGGAGTGATACTTTGAAATGATATATCCATAAGGATTGCATCCCTAATTATACTCCATTCCCAACGCCTTAGCATTTCAATCTCTACACCCAGCTTAAAGATATTGCTGAGGAAGGAAGATGTTTTTAGTATGTGTTATTCATGCCAGTGAATAGTATCAGATTGTAATTAGTATATTCCAGTTTCTTAATACGCAGGGAACAGTTTGATCTGAAATTACCACAGAATAGTGGCCAACTCCCCATTCATATCATTGTCACATGCTTCTAAAACCATTTAGTATGATTATATATATTAAAAAAAGAAAAAAAGAAAAAAAGTCAAAAACTTTCAAAACGTTTGAGAGGGGAAACACCCACGTGTGTCAATTGAGAGACCTCTTGTAACTTATTCCAAGCTCAATTGGAACCCCGAATGGAAAATCATACAGTTCTTTGGATAAGCAGTAGATCTGACTCAACTAAGGGATTCCTAATAAACTCTGGGGCCAACAATGACAGGGCCCAACACACACATATGTACATACAATCTGCATACATGTGTGAATGAAATAAATAGATAGAAAAATAAATTAATAATTTAATAAATGGAACCACAATGCCCAAGTCGGTACGGTAAAGAAAGAAATAAACCATCCCGCTAGGGTTGGCAGCACTGCCGGCTCTGCAATGCCAGATTGCCAGGGCAAGAATGAATGCAGAATGGGAATGAAGTAGTGCTCCATTGCCCTATTCCTCCACAATCCTAAACCTCACAGACCCCAACGCATCTGCAGAGGTGACCTCCCACAATTCTACAATACAATAGACTAGCTAGCAAGCAAGCAAGCACGCACGCACAGACTAGCAAAAGAGAGAAGAGAGAGAGCTCATCTTACTGCTTCCCAGTACCAGTACTGCTACTACTACTATACCATGAGAACCTAGAGATGGGAACCCTAGCTGCTCAGCAAGGAGAGGGAGGCAAAGGAGAGCGGAGGGAGCCTACTTGCAAGGGGAGCAGAGGAGTCCTATCTTCGGCATCAGGTAAACCTGACTTTTGATTACCTGGCCGTTGACGAGGAAGCCCGGAGTCACCATGAATCCCACTTTGGAGGAGAAGACGGAGGCATCGAACTGCGGCATGGTGAGCACATCCAGAGTCTCCATGTACTTGGGATCGAAAGCTGTGGACGTCTTGACGCAGTATATGGCAGCGGGCGGGTCGAAGGAGTAGGCCAGCTTGTGCGCCCGCCACACATGCTTCATGGCCTCCAGGAAATCCTCCACCAAGGTTTGAGGCCACTCTTCCCACCACTGCAGCTCATCGTGAATCGCTTGAAACTTCCTGTTGCAAAACATGTGGAAATTCTCGTGGTACACTCTGCTGTCAGGGTTGATCGCGTCTGTGGGGCTCAGCAACGCCAGCATTTCGTACTCGTCCCACGATGACATCCGAGGCGCGCCTTGTTTGTCCAACAGGGACATGTCCGAGGAGAGCCCGTAGCTTTCGCTGCCGAAGTCCCCTAGAACGAGTCTGTTTACACAGGCCTCCAACGCGTATTTCAAGTGCCAGGGTTTGGCGAAGGAAGTGTGGGGGAGTAACCGGGCGATTAAAGAACTCACGACGTCTTTCGGCCTTAGATTGTCCTGGAGATCCTCCACTGAAATGCTCTGCTCGCGATGTTTGGACAGTGATTGGCAGAAGCTCCGTAGAAACGTTTTCTGCACCTGCACGATCTCTTCGAAGAGAGAGGTTGTGAGGTCGGTCCATGGCGTCTTGAGGAATTGGAGCCTCATAGAGCTGCTCATGTCCCTCACAGGATAACCATTCGTTCGTGTTCTGGGAGCCGACTTCGCCCTTCGCGGTGTCGGTACGTCTTTCTCTCGCGGAGGGCGTTTCTTCTCGCTTGCGACCGAGTTTGCTCTTGCTGGCAGCATCACCTTCTGCGGAGTAGCTTTTAAGGACTCCGAGTCATCTTCGCAGTATTTTGAGGGTGGTGAGGACCCCTGGGATTGCAAGGTGAAGGTCTTGATTTCTTGACACATTGATTGCAAAGCACTATACATTTGTTTCATCTCATTCATTTCTTGCTGATGCTGTTCTCGAAAACTGGACCACTGCTCTTCGAATTTTGGTGAGGTTGCGGCTACGGGTGATGCAGGCTTGGACGTCCGTCTAGACACCAAAAAAATAAAAAGTTGAAGTGAGCACTCAAAAATTATCAAATGTATACCAGTACACTTCCAACTGATGCTTATCAAACTCTTTACAATCTTCCATGCAATCGACACCTAGTCCTGAAACGTAACATTTCCAAGTATTGATGTTGAAAGTGACAGGCTTGTCCGTTCGCTGAATTTACATCTCAGCCTACCTTAGCCTATACAATCCAATGATGCTGTGTGTGACTTAAGATAACACGGTTCACTGCGTTCGCACAATATTAACGCCATGCGTAGAACGCAGTATCATCGATTCTGTTCTTCTCACTGTGAATATCATACAAATTCGAAGGTAATAACGCAAAGGAAGTTGTTCGCTTATCATCGGACATGCACTTACCGGGAGAAAATGCCACTGACGGACTTCGGAAGCTTGCCGGCCTTAGAAGCAGGAGGTGTCTTGTCTCCAGAAGTCGGATGTTTGCGAGAATCGGAGGTTGATGTTGAAGATACATCGATTCCCAAACCAATCCTATTCCAGGTTTTACATCCACAGCCGACCTCCGAGACTTGAGGCACTGGTTGCCCTCTCCCTGCACAAGGTGTAGACACTCCGTCAAAAATGAGTTCACACGCCTCACTATACCCAAAATCTCGGGTGCATCTCCGAGAACCAAGAGATCACTACTCATTGTAAAACAGGCCGACCGAAAACGTCCAACAGCTCCCTTCACTACTTTTGGCACCAGGTGGTCGGCGCACCTGAAGTCAGCATTGACGGATCTAGCGTTTTCCTTCTACTGCTTCTTGAAGTGGACCTAGACCGTCCAGAGGGAGGCATTTTAGGGCTTGGCTCACTGCGCTCCTGCCTCCTTGCCACCACATCCTCACAATCTTCCACTGACGGCATTGTTTCGATAAGTCAACGGCCTTCGGTGATGCTCAACTTTTTGCCGTTTTTTTTTTTGGTCTATGCTCAAGTATTCGAGGATGTGGCATTAACTCATTTCGGCTGATTCTGGGACATACCATTTGTGTAAATACAATGAGAAGATATGTGAAAACGAATTCCTACAAAATAAATAAATAAATAAATCGTCGGAATCTTGAGCATTCCGACCCTTCAAAACGGTTCATTGAGAGGCCTGCCCCTGAACATTTTCACTTACCGCTTAAGAGTTCGACGAAGTCTAGCAGAATGATGCTGCAACGTCGGAAGAAGGGGCTCTAAACAAAATCCCACAATCTACGTAACATGTGGCACTGTCTGCAGGAAGCTCGGATTCAATGATTCCGATCACTCCATCCATATCCCACACTGCACCAACTGGTGCGCACTCGCATATCCACAGCACAGTTGGTCCTTGGAATCACACCTCTACAACTACAATCAAGGTGCGAGGGTCCACATTGCACTTCACTTGCGAACCCCTTCTTCCGCGAAACGCGGGCCTCAAATTATGCCGCTCGTCCGAGCACTCTAAAAGCACGGCATTCATGGCCTGGGTTTGATCCGTGAAACCTGTAAACCGACTCGCGCACACTTGGAGCCCCTTCGTGCACCACACACCCCACGTAGAAAGTCACACAGACACTCTCCGAATTGCCTGAATCTCCACCTAGACCATCTAAGAGGTTCGAAGTCCTCCGTCGCAACGGGTTCGCTCATGAGGAGTCAGAACTGAACTAAAATCTCGCACGCATCAAAGAACTACAGAAAAAGCGCTCCAGTTGCGCATAAAAGCAGCACCACCACATCAAAAAAAACCACTAGCAACGGTCCTTGTTCTCGATAGTTCCCGTCACTTTCCTGACAACTGAAACTAGTACACACACTAGATTAAACCTCAGCTGATCCTCACACTTGACATCCTGACGCCAATCCTCCCACAGAGCTCCACAATGAGCACCTGTACACACACACACACACACACACAGAGACAAACACACACACTCACACGCTCTATCTCTCGCTACGGCAACTGCCTCACTCTTCCACTTTCAAAAACAATCGAGAGTTCTGGAAACGAACGGAATGAAAAAGGAAATAAATAAAAACTAGATATGTATCTAGCCAAATCAAAGGCAGGTTGCTCATCAGAAGGAAGAGGGAGGAAACAAAGAGAAGAAAATAAAAAACACAAAGAAACCTAGAATGAAGAGTCATCCTGGATCTATCTATCAGAAAACTGATCCAAGTCATTCATCGAGAAAAGCGCTAAGTTCGTGGGCTGTGCGAGCGGGAATGCTATTCCTAGCAATTCAGGTTAAGTTGGCTGGTGCTGCGGCACCAGTGCCCAATTCGCAATTTGCAGTGAGATGGGACTGTTCCTCTATCGCTCCGATGCCATCCACGCCATCCGCTACTGCTGCTTCTGCTGCTGCTGCTCAGAATGTGAACTCGGATCACGTTTCGAAATTATTCCGACGTGCACCCCCCGTCCTCCTTTACCACGATCATCCACGCATCATCCCCTCCCTCACTCCCCGTTGCCATCTCCCCCGCGCCTGCTTGCTTCGCTGCGGACCTCGGCCACTCCGCCCAGACCCACCTCGCTCCGGTCGACGAATGAATGGCCGTGGATGAATGCATAAGGTGATGATATGTGTGTGCCTGTTTTCATCGATTTTTACATCCCAGGGTTTCTTGCTACTAGACTTAAGACTTTCTGGAATAAAGCAGAGATATCGTGTCCTTACTCCAAGGGTTTTAATGTATTTGGGGATAGGGGAGAAAGTTGTAAATGCATGAAAAAGGAGTCATATTTGGAATTGGCATTGCAAAAGTTAAATCTTTCTTGTGGGTTGTTTTTGAAATAAAATTAAAAAAATAGAAATAAAAATAAGATAAATTAATGTCATCTCTTTTATCACATCAAACTTTGTGACATTAGGGCAAACACAGCACTATGCAGAACCAAATAACTGAGATTCAACACTGAATATTTTAAGGACCACTTGAAATATCAAATCCAAAATATCACCATTCAAATTTTATTACATTCTAGTATGAAGTCAAAGAGGGATGAGAGCTAAGGCAAGTGACATGGTTTTTGATATTTGACCTGCCCTTCTTTTTATATTTTGATTTCAAAATCACCCATCTTGTGAGATGGGTGATTTGGTGAAGTATGACGTGATATTTTGAAATATCACAGGATACTTTGAGCTTGCATCATGGGTGAAATATCACTCAAAAAGCCCATATATTGAAACCCCCCATTCTTTCCATTTCATATTTCCTTGCTTATAATATTGAAGCAAAACAAATAAATCTACTGTAGAATTTTTTAACAATTGAATAGGTAAACATAGTCAGAAGTAGTTCTATGAATGTTTGTGTTGGCACATGAGACATGTAACAGAGATTGAAGACACAACTTCATTCAAAATCTCATGTTGATTGCAAAATATGAGCAGACATTTGTAACATTTGAGATTAATAAAAATTAATAAAGATTCACTATAAGAATTGAGTCTTTTAAAAGATTTCATGTGTTAATAAATAAATCATGTATACAATATGTCAGAATCAATTCTCATTACTGGACATTGTATGATTAATGTAGTTTTATTATGTGTTTTATTTTCCAATCTTTTTAAAAGTCAATATAAATTGCTAGGTTTTGGTGACTCAAACTACAACATGCTCTTAACTTAGGCAAAAATCTAATAAGTCCCATGTAATTTCACCTTCTGCCAAAATTGCACAGCAGTTTTTGAACATGATTTTATTTATTCATTTATTTTTCTCAGAAGATGTACCACTCATGTAATTTTATTGTGTTGTAATCCAGCATGTAAAAGAGTGTCTTAAAACTTGGAAGCTGTATTCCGTTATGAATATCAAATAAATACATCTTAAGAAATAAAATTTTGAATTTGTAGAAAATTACTTTATGGTGACAAATTATGAACAATATATATTATGGATAACATATGTATACATTTGGTATTATTCTTTAATTACTAAAATATTATTGTAGATAATAATAGGCATATATGATATAGAATTCCATCATTTTTTTAATTGTTTATTACTACAACTTGTCACATTCATACCACATGCTTTAAAAAGAAGAGACAGATAACAACCACCCAAATGCAAATTCATAACAAGTTCTACCTACCAAAACCATATAAAACGAGTAAGTGGTGGTTGTTGCCATTCAATTGTATGTTGTGCACTTATTATTGTATGGCAATATCCATTGTACTTCAAACCACGTAGATTTAACAATTTTGGTAAACTTGCAAAGCCTTTTCTATTTTATTTTATTTTATTTATCTATCCATACAATCTATTTCCAATTGATTGTTTTACCTGAGTAATAAAATAACCAAAAATTCATTACTTGGTAATAGAACCTAAAGAAGTTAGCTTTTAATTTAAATAATTATTAAATAATTAATGGTATTTAATGATTAAAAACGTAACATGAAAATGTCATTAGTTGAGTCTCAATTTCAAAATTACGATGGCTATTAAAATAAATAAATAAATAAATTATAAAAGCTTATTTATATTCATTCTTATTCTGTACAATATACATATGTAGTTTTGTTTTTAACATCTAAATATTTAATCTTAAATACATGCCTCAAACAAACACAATGAGATTCACATAGTTGCATTTTGTATTTCTTTGTAATAGCATTATTATTATTATTTAAAATAAATTTAATCCCTCTCTTTCTCTTCCCATTATTATGTGACAATATTCAAATATGATTGTGTCATTCTTAGATACACTGTTTGCAATGCACTTCATAATTACATTGCATATTAATACAAAACATTAACTAGCTTCAGCATACTGTGCATGAAGCACAGCAAGGGACCCGATTTAAAAAATACCTTCTTTTTGCATGTTTGTTTTTCTTCTCTCTTTTCATTGTTGTTGCTTGTGTTGTTTGACACATTCCAGTGGTAGGAATGAGTTCCCATGGTAGGAAGGGGGGCAGCACATGAATCACATGGGGAACAACCACAAAGCTCTCACAAGGAAGGAAGATTAATAGGAGTGGGCATTTATCTACAAAGGAGTAGAATTAGCAGAATTGTATATATTATAATGTATATACATTAAGGAAGCTTAGGTATAAGACAAAGTGACAAAGAAGTCTTCTCATTGATTGAAATCAAAGCAATTGTTAATCAGCAAAAAGACCTCCAAGTTGCTGTCTATAAACATGTTTTCCATGGCCAACAACACAAGTTTGTAAATAGGAAGAGGAGGAGATGAGGATTGAGAGAGGGCATTGGAGTGGTTTTCCTCCTCTTCTGTTTCCTTAGTTTCTATTCTCTTTCCTCCTATTTTCTGTGGTTCAATTGATCCTATCCTCTTTATTTCTGAATTTGCTTCATTCCATTTGCTAAATTAATTCCAGAATCATGGTGCTCCCACTCTTCTTCATCCATGAATGCATCCGAGACCAGCTTCAACGCCTTGGAGCCAAAGGCATCCTGGTGAGTCATGGAGAAATAATCAATACACATCAACAACACAGCAGCAGCAGCAATAACACAAAATAGCAGAAAATAAATCAAAATTAAATAAAAATAAAATCCTAACCCTAATTCTAAGTCTTGTTAGTACCAGATCAACAGACAATGGCTGATTAAACATATGTGAAGTTTGTAGAACACCTTTTGTGAAATTGACTCAAACTTACCATTGTATTGTTTTGATTGCATTTGTGCTATTTTATTTCATTTTATTTTTATTTTTATACTCAGAATAGAAACAAAATATCAAAGTCACTATATCATATTTGAGCATAAAAGATCCAAGTCTATGCCCAAATAAAATATAAAAAAATAAGAACTAATTAAGATGTTGTTGTTTTCTCAATGTTCCTCTTCAAAGTATGTTTATTTTCTTTTTCACAAGACCTGTTGCATCACAGTTCTATATAAATGAATTATTTAAAAAAGTGCAGGCTCTTGTAAACTTTCACAAGAAATGCAACAGCAATAGAAGATTTGATATTGCTACATGGCAAGAATTTTTGAGATTCACTGGAATTCGACTCAATCCAGAGGTGCTTTTATTATAAATAAATAAATAAAATCATGTACATATGTGTGTGTATGAATATATATATATATATATATATATATAAATATACACACACACTAATGAATGTCAAAAGTTATTAAGGTTGATTTTGAGATGACAAATGATGAATCAGTGTTTAAAAAGTATTGGGATTTTCCAAAGCCATCAATTGTTTGTCTAGTAATCTTGTGCTGATTTATTGATTGTGCTGTAAATACTCTTCTAACATGTATGTGTGTTGTAGGAACTTGCTCTCTTAATGAGAACACATGCAACATGTGGGACAGAATTCCACTTTGGAACTTTTATGGATTGTGTACATGGAACAGTATGCATCAATTCCATCACATATATTTAAATTGTATTTTGTTTACTAATCAAGATTAGTGCCATAATTTTTTTTTTTTTTTTTTTTTTTTTTTGCCATTCATATACAAATATAATCAATACATTTACTTCATAAACAGCAATACATGTTGTTGGAACATTTTATGTTTCATTATTTGTATTAAAATGACCATATTATTATTTTTTAAATGAAAAACTGCAATTGTGAAGGGTCTGTTTATAACCCATGAACTGTGCAGCTCACTAAATTCAGACAAAACTTGGTGGATGCTGCTTGGAAGAAACTTGATCATGTTTGTGACACTAACGAAATGTAATATATTTATATTTATGTACATAAACTCTCACACATACATATGCACATGTAAGAACTAGAACATTGTAAATCATATATAATCAAATTGCACCAAACCATGAAACAAAACACATAGAACTAATCTTCTATCCTATACCCGCATTTCAAAACCTTGGCCACATTATGTTTTTGATTTGTACCCATTTGCAATCTACATGCATGCAAACAATTAAAAAACACCATGCAATCATCACATAATTCCTAGAGTGTGAGAATTTTGTGGAAAACAAAGACCATGCATAGAAGACTAGTGGACTAATTACATAGAATTCATGTGTTTGAATGCTAAATGTATGTTTGGGCACAACATTGGGGGGTGAAGGACCTAGTGGGGTATGTGACATTGGATCGGATTAAGGATGTGTACCATCTCAAGGTGCATCCTGCGGTCATGATGCAACAAAAGACAGCCGAAGAGGCTATTATTGACTGGTTGAGTGAATCCTTTGGGCTCCTTCAGAAGGTGTACCACTCAGATCTTGCACAGTACTACCTCCTTATTGGAGCCAGCATCCCCCATGACCGTGCCTTTGAATTACTCTTCATCAAAGCCTGGCAGGTGAGTAGTGATGGTTGAAACCCACCCTAATATATATATATATATTTATATATCTACACGGTCAGGACCCTTCACCGCGATTGCTCTAATCCCGTGTAGTAACTGTGGGACGGGGGTGGCGGTGTCGGTGGCAGATCCGTGCCGATGGATACAATGTCGACGACGCGCTGAACCACATCAAGGTGCAGGTGTATAAGAACCGGAATCGGATCCGGGAGTTTTTCAGGGACTACGATCCGTTGCGGCATCGCCTCATCCTGGACTCGCAATTCGCTGCTGCGATCGACAACTCGAAGCTGGTTGTCACCCCGCTTGAGCTGCGCGCCGTTTGCGATCAGTACTGCATGAACGATGACCCCCAGCTGCTCGTTTGCTGGACCGCCTTCTGCGATGAAATCGATACCGTGTACACGCTGAAAGAGCTCGAAAAGACTCCCCTTCGCGAGGTCTGTCCCTCACAAAAACCGGTGTGATTGCGGGCGTATGCGTGTGAGTGTGTGTGCTTTTGCTCATTAGTTTGTTTCTAGAAGAGTATGCATACATGCATGAACATTATCGCGTGTGGAGCTGACGTAGGAGGCTGTGGGGTCGTGCAATGTAGGTGGCGAAGGTGCCCGTGTTGGAGGGCCTCACCCCGCAGCGCTTCCAAATGGGAGCCACGAAGCTGGACGAGAAACAAGAGAGAGCGGTGCAGGAGGTCATCCGCAAGATTCGCACGCAGATGTACAATCGCAGGATCTACGTGCGCGGCTCCTTCCAGGATTTCGCGCAGCCGAAGATGTGCATCGGGGCGGTAGGCCACGTCACTTACACGCAGTTCGCACAGGCACTGAGTAGCCAGCTGAACCTCTACATTGAGCCCTACGAGGTGGCTCTGCTGTGCGCCAAATACGACGACATGAAGAACAAAACGGTCAATTACCTCGCCTTCACCACCGACATCGACCCCGCTCCATAGCCTCCTCCATGCCCTCTCTCATCCCGACCGTATCTCTCGCGCTTTTGCCCACTCCTTCCCACCACGCTTGCTGACTGTGCATGCCGTAATAATTCTGACAATTCATTGCCGCTATGTCTGGATGAATGTTCCCGTTTTCACCGTCATTCGTTGCGTTTCCCTCTAAGCGGTGCAGGGTTCGATTCCATACGAAAGCATGTTCTATTGTTGCCATGTCATGCTCCATACATGGGTTCTATAATACTGCTTTTTTTTTTCCTTCATTCAAGCTGAAATGTGCAACCTTTTGAAATTTACCACGAATATTTTTTTTCCTTTCGAAATAATAAAATTCCAATTCCAATTTTCATGAATGAAGATGATTTTTGACCTTTCACAATTATTATATAGAAAAATAAATTATAACACTTAAAAAAAATTTCAAAGTTAAAATTTGTTGATGATAGATATACATAACTCAACAAAAACAACATGTAAGGACAATTGCAAAAATAAAAACTTAATAATATTAATAATAATTTCTTATTATTAACATTTGTAATTTTTTGGTTGAAGCAACCTACATGTATGTAATTACATCTATATATATATATATATATATATATATATAAGGGAATGATAAAGCAATTCAAATTTTTACTAAAATGACATACTCTATCTTAACCATCATTACATCCTTGCAATCTTCACCTTAGTTGTTATCCATTTCCAACCATATCTAAGGATGGAAGGAAGAAGAGGGGGGATATATATATATATATATATATATATATATTGATAGAGAGAGAGAGAATGTCAAGAATGGAGGTAATGGTTGGAAACAAGGGAACAACTAAGAAGGCGGGATGGAGTTGAAAGAGTATAATGTGTCACGGCCATAATCATGTAAGCTAATAATTACATATAGAAATAGGTAGAAGTAAGTAAAAGTAGGTAAAAGTAAGTTAATTCTATAATATTTAATATAGAAGCTTCCTAGAAATTTTTTAGACGCTGCTTTGACTTCATAGGTGTCTTTAATTGACTTTTTGGATTAGAAACGTGGTCAATAAGTTGGCCATGTGCCACACATGTTGTTAGCTTGAAGATCAAGCTAACTATGTGGCCCACACGTAGAAAAACTTACCTTGTAAGTCAAGGCATGTGTCCTACAAAGTCAACACATATTGGAGGTCCTATAGAACGTCGCCACGTAGCCCCTAGTTAGAGAGTATATATAGAGACAAGAGTGAAGGCTTCTTCACTCTTGTCAACTCCTTTCTTGCTTCTAGTTTAGTTTCAAGGGTCTCTAGTTTTCTTGTCTTTTGGCAATAGCCATTCCAGTTTCTCTTTCAATATATATACTTGTTTATATATATTTTGTTACCTCTCTTTGAGTGAATGCTCACTTGTTTGAATTGTTTTTTCATCGAGTTCTTGTCCTTGATAGATTGACAAGAGTGCACTTACAATATCAGAGCTTTGTTTTTCTTGAGTAAGAGTGGATTACCCCTTTCTCTTGACAAGACATAAGCATATTAGAAGTTTGCGGATTACCCACTTCTAAACTGATATTGTTCTTAGTATCTTCTTTGTTATCAAGTCTTTTCTTTTTCTTTTGTCTTGAGCAATATCAGACAAATTTTTCTTCTTAGTATCATTATGACAGAGCTTGTTGAAATGAACAGTGCAATGGCACAAATGCAAGAACAATTGAGGGAATTAATGCTTGCGATGCATGAACTCAATTCACCAACACAGGAAAGAACAAGAATAGCAGAAAGTGGATATATAGAGATGATCGGAGCTGCTTCAACATCTGCACCAAATCACATTCCTTCTCCAATTGTACAACACCCTGTAAGCACTAGGGAACCAAGAATTGCTTTACTCAAGAAATTTGATGGTACAAGATCAAAGTTTCGAGGGTTCATCAATCAAGTACAATTCGCAATTGAACTTCAACCGCAAAGCTATCCAACTCCAGGATCACAAGTCAGGTTTATTGGCACTCTACTTTCTGGTTCTGCATTATCGTGGTTTTCGTCTTTTCTTGAACAACGAAATCCAATATTGGATAATTTGAAAGATTTTTTGGCGGAGTTTCGATCTATGTATGGTGATCACGATGCAACTCGTGTCGCAACAAACAAGATCCGAATTCTGCGACAAGGAAACCGCTCAGTAACAATGTATGCTTCACAATTTCGACAACTTACAATTGACATCATGTCAAGGACAAAGACTCGATGAGGGAAAATATACACCAAAAGGCTATCTCGATATAACAAGTCAAAATATAAACAAGTAGATATATTAAAAGGAAACTGGAATGGCTATTGCCACAAGACAAGAAACTAAAGACTCTTGAACCTGGACTAGAAGCAAGAAAGGAGTTGAGAAGAGTGAAGAAGCCTTCACTCTTGTCTCTATATATACTATCTAACTAGGGGCTACGTGGCGACGTTCTATAGGACCTCCAATATGTGTTGACTTTGTAGGACACATGCCTTGACTTACAAGGCAAGTTTTTCTACGTGTGGGCCACATAGTTAGCTTGATCTTCAAGCTAACAACATGTGTGGTACATGGCCAACTTGTTGACCACGTTTCTAATCCAAAAAGTCAATTAAAGACACATATGAAGTCAAAGCAGCGTCTAGGAAGTTTCTAGGAAGCTTTTATATTAAATATTATAGAATTAACTTACTTTTACCTACTTTTACTTACTTCTATCTATTTCTATATGTAATTATTAGCTTACATGATTATGGCCGTGACATTACCCTCCCTTCTAGAGACGAGTTCCACGAGGAGCGGTCATCATATGTTGAGGAAATCTATGATGCGACGAATTGTATTCGCCACATACTCTGATCTCTGTTCTCTTTGAAGATGATTGATAGGGCCTCTCAACCATCGGTAGTGTCCCATACCAGGGCAGGAAGACCACCCAGTTATTTGATCATTGTTGAGGCCTTCGTAACTTCCTTCGAATAGAATATTTGGAACACCATCAAGAGTTGTTCCTACCTCTAGCAAAATCACCAAACATCGAGAGTCCCTTCCCAAATCGTGATACCAAACGCGTTGTATTTCACCATCTGTTCGAGGAAGAACATGTCGTTCTTGAAGATCTTCATCTCGATTGCGTCGTCTTGAAGGTTGTGACAATCGTAATGTCTCGTCTGGCAGGTCAGCAAACGAAGGTTCTTGAGTTGAATCCGCTGGTTGTTGGCTCTCTTTGCAAAGAAGTTACAAACAAGGATAGGAAATTGAATGTTATCTTGCCTCAATCTTGTCTCTTTTATAAGAGAGATTTTCATCTTGGTTTTGATGGATGTCATTGATGAAAAACTTTGACTTTAGCTGATGCATTTCCTAGATTCTTGGATGGCTCCCATGTGCGTTCACTAATATCATATCCGCGCCAATGAACAAGATATTCCAGCTTATTTCGGCGCCGCCTTGAGTCTAATATCTCTTCCACCTCAAATTCTTCATTATTATCTACTTCTGTAGGAGGCGGTGGCATTTGTCTTCTTTCTTGTATATCCACTGTCTTATATGGTTCAAGAAGAGACACGTGGAATACAGGATGGATCTTCATTGACTCCGGTAGATGTAACCGATATGCAACTGGGTTGATCTATTCAGAAACAGAAAAGGGGCCAAGCCTACGATAGTCCAACTTGTCACAAGGTTGAGTAGTCTTGATATTGCGACGAAGAAACCATACCTTATCACCCACGTTGATTTGTGCTTGCTCCTTACGATATAGATCTGTGTTTATCTTTTGTCGTTCTTGAGCTTCCTTCAATTGCGTCTTCATTATTGCATGTAACTCTGACAACCGATTTGCCATATCTTCTACTGTAGGATTATCAACTTTTGAAAAATCAAAAGTATCAAGTCGTGGATGATAGCCATAATTGGCAAAGAAAGGTGTTTGTTGCATGGAGGAATGTACCGTATTATTATAAGCAAACTCTGCCAATGGCAGAAGGGTTGTCCAATCATCTTGTTGGTAGTTGATGGTACACCTTAAATATTGCTCCAAGACTTGCTTTACGCGCTCTGTTTGTCCATCAGTTTGAGGATGGAAAGCCGAAGATAGCTTTATGTCCACTTTTAAAATCTTGAAAAGGGTCCTCCAAAATCTTGACACAAATTGAGTTCCCCTATCCGATATGATATCTTTCGGTAATCCATGATAGCGATAGATATTATCAATGAAAAGCTTAGCTGTTTCTTCACCTGTGATAGATTTTGTACATGGCACAAAATGTGCCATCTTGGTGAAACGATCTACTATCACAAATATAGAATCATAAGATCTTGAGCTTGGAAGATCTGTGATGAAATCCATAGAAACAGAAGACCATGGTTGTTCTGGTATAGGTAATGGCTGAAGAAGTCCGTAAGGTCGATGACGAGGAATTTTTGATCTTGAACAAATATCACATGATTGTACAAAGTCTTTGACTGACTTCCACATTTGTGGCCACCAAAAATCTCTTGATATGAGTTCCAAAGTCTTATTATATCCAAAGTGCCCTGCTGCTGGAAAGTCATGACGTGCTTGAAGAACACGTAAACGTGCTTCTCCTTCTGGAACATATAGGCGTCCTTCAAAACATAATAGATTATTCTTGAACTCGAACTTAGAAGGATCATGAGACTTGGAAGAATTATTCTCGATATCATAAACAAGAGGGTCTAAGGACATACTGGACTGGATTTGCTTGAGAAAAGTTGAATCAACAGTCAATGTTGATTTCATTGCTCGGAGATGAAATTGCTCCGGTTTCAAGAGGACCGTTCTTTGTTGCTCAAAAGCTGCATCTCCTTCTTTTGGTGCAAAATAAGAACGTCTAGATAGGGCATCAAACAAACCTTGTTGTTTTCCTGGCCGATAAGTGATAATGAACTCGAATCTTGACAAAGACATACTCCAACGAGCTTGACGACGATTCAACACGCGTGTTGATATGAAATACTCGAGGTTCTTGTGATCTGTATACACAGTGACTGGACTAGAAGCGCCTTCTAGATAATGATGCCATTCTTGAAAGGAATCCACGATCGCAAGAAGTTCTTTATCGTGGATTTCATAATTGATCTCGGTTGCTGAGAATTTTCTTGAATGAAAAGCTATCGGATGAAGTTTGTCATCTGTTCCCATTTGTGATAAAACTGCACCCAAGGCAAAATCTGATGCATCTGTTTCCATAAAAAATGCCTTGGAAAAATCAACACGATATAAGACTGGTGCAGAGATAAACGATGTCTTCAAGGCTTCAAATACTGCTTCCGCTTCTTGATTCCATTGGAATTTATCTTTACTAGTCAAGCGTGTAAGTGGAGCTGCAAC